GTTATTAATCTCTCTTCGCTTCGACTTGAGAGTTCCCATCGTAATGTCCTAGAAAAAGGTTTATCATTTGTTCCCACTCCCCCCTTTGACAAATTCTCTTGGGCCAAGGATTTACATCTATTTGTGAGGAAATTAGCCTTACATAAATTTCATGAACTAAATAAGGAGAAAAGAGCCAGATCATTAGGCCTCTCTCCTGGGGATGTTGACTGTCTTAACAACTTGGTGGCCCTTCTGGACGAAAATATGCAAACTCCGTCTAGATATACAGATTTACGGTCTAAAAGTCGATTTACCCCTAACTTCTCGGCCTACAGGAACATCGATTTGTTCCTTGAAGCAGTGAAAAACGAGATTGATCACATAGAAGTAAAAAATCTTTCTGCTTTTCCTAACGAAAACCTTTCCTATCGAGAACAACGTGCCCTTAAATCCCTTAAAGACAACAACACTATTGTTATCAAACAGGCGGACAAGGGGGGCAATGTGGTTTTGATGGACAGACCTAATTATGAAAGAATGGTACAGGATGTCCTCAGTAATAGGGATACCTACACAGTCCTTCAATCAGACCCCACAAATGCCTTTCTTAAGAGCTACAAAGAGATTTTGGACGAGGGACGCAGGGAAGGTTTGCTGTCCGATGAGGAGTATCGTTTTATCCTCAACCCCTGTCCTAGGATAGCAACCTTCTACTGCCTCCCTAAAGTTCATAAAAACATCCAGAATCCACCAGGCCGTCCGATAGTCTCGGGGATTGATAATTTGACACAAAATGGGAGCCTATACATTGACCGTATCCTCAGACCCTTTGTAGAAAGCCTGCCATCCTACATCAGAGACACAAAACAGGCTTTGCATCTCCTTATGAACTTACATATTCCACCAACATCTAATCTATGTAGCCTTGACGTTGAAGCGTTATATTCCTCCATTCCGCATCAAAGGGGACTTGAACATATAAGGCATTTCTTGAATAAAAGAGGTATTGAACATCAGGCACATACTGAATTCACCATCAACCTCTTAGAGTTCATCTTAACACACAATTTCTTCCTATTTAATAAGAGGTTCCACCACCAAGTGAGAGGTACAGCGATGGGCACAGCTTGTGCTCCATCGTATGCCAACCTCCATCTTGGTTGGTGGGAAGAACAAATCAGGACCATCGACACATTGTTACCTTTTATGTCCAAGATTACATCATGGTATAGATACATCGATGATGTCTTGATTATTTGGCAGGGAAATGCTGATGAATTCAATAAATTTGTGGCCCTCCTCAATACCAACGAGGATAACCTAAGGTTTACCTCTGAATTTGGGGGCCAGTCTCTGAACTTTTTAGACCTCACCATTTCGATCTCCGGAGATGGTTCCATGAAAACCACTCTCTTTAGGAAACCATCCGCATCTAACTCTCTTCTTAAGTGGGATAGTCACCACCCTAGGCCTCTCAAACAAGGTATTCCAACTGGTCAGTACCTCAGGCTCAGACGGAATTGCTCTGACCTGGGGGATTTCCAAACCAAGGCCAAATCCCTGCGTCAACAATTTAAAGAAAAAGGCTACCCAAATAAATGTTTAAAAAGAGCCTATAAAAGAGCACTGATGACGGACAGGGAAGACCTTTTGTCCGATACATCCGATGCTAGCTCTAGCACCAATAAAACCATCAGGATGATCGGAACATTTGATACCGGTTGGAATGAAATAAAGGAATCTTTTCAAAAATATTGGCCTATTCTCCTTAGAGACCCACATTTGAAAGAAGTACTTGGCCCACGGGTCACTATCACAGCTAGGAGGGGTAAAAACCTCCGTGATTTGCTGTCCCCCAGCCATTACTCATGTAAACAGAGTCTACAGCCTTCATGGCTGGGACGTCAAATCCCAGTGGGTACATTCCAGTGTGGTAAATGCGTAGCGTGCAAATTTATCCTAAGGGATTCTAAGAAAGTAGGAGACAGTGAGGGAAAACATGTCTTTCAAATCTCCCATTTCTTTAACTGTAACTCGGTAGGAGTGGTTTACCTCCTCACGTGCAGCTGTAGAATGATGTACGTGGGGAAGACGTTTAGGCCCTTCAAGGAGCGCATAAAAGAACATGTGAGATGTACCAGAAACCGGGTAGAGACCCCTATCTCCAGACACCTTAAAGAACACCATGATGGTTCATCTAGAAACATACGCTTCTGTGGTCTTGAGTTGGTCAAACGTGAGCCCAGACGAGACCCGACAATGAGAAAATCCAAAAGGAATTTATGATGATTTACAAAAACCCACCCTCTCGCCTGAAATTAAAGATGACAAACATGCTTTAGATGACAAGCAGTTTTAGAATATGCATCTCTAGTTGCAAGCTATAAGTTAGGCATTCAGCTTTACTTTATCTGTACTAGTAAAATCTCCCGCAAACTGGATTATAATATGTACCTGCTAATAGCTTTGCCTCCTCCAATAATTTGAAATTAGATTGCACCTTAAACTTGACAATGATCCTGTAATGTGACGCCGGTTCAATAGATTGACGTTTTGATGTGAAACGATATCATTCATACTTTTTAACCAAACATTACACAACACTTAAAGCTCTTGGTAAAAATGTTAATATACCAAATGCAAAATATATAACCAAATACATTAAATTGTAAGTGTCAACACAAGAGTCATATAACTATTTTTTCAAAGTTCTCTCCAAATTTGTTCACCCAAAACCAAAGTAGACTGGTTGTTTCTAAATAAAAAAATAAAAAAATAGAACCTATAATACCTAAACCCATACAAAAAAGTTTTACAGAAAAGGTAAGACTCGCTATGAATAGTGTTTAGGCGTGGATTAGTATTTTTTTGGTGCATTTCCTGTTGTTGGTCAGGGTGTTTTTTTTTATATTTATTTTTCTCACTATAACTAGACATCCTCTATTCCTGCACTCTGTTGATAGCAGGGTCTATTATAGGCAGACAGTCTACACCACGTATTAGGGACACGTTTAGGCTGCCTTGTAAGCAGCCTCAATATAGACATCCACATATCATTCTACTCCCTCTATCTCTCCTAAGTCCTTTGGCCTCTCCCTTACACTCTCATCCCTTTTTTTTGCTCTAAACCCCTCTCCTGTCAGCTTTGCTGTGTATATCCACTTTCTCCTGGATTAAATCTCTCCCCTCTCTGCCTCTTTATAAAGTCCTGGATAAATCTGTTGTGTATACATAATACCTTTTGTTCGTTTTTTTCTATAACAGTGTTCTCTATGCCAGGCAATTTATAGAACTTACAATGAGGATTTTTTCTAGTTAGCTTTTGTGAACACTTTTCTCACTCACTTTAAATATCCCTCAGGGGAACCCTTCTCTGGCAATTTTTATAGCCAGTTATATATATAATTTTTATATGTATGTCTTTTTCTATTAAAGGTCTTAGTACCCGTTATATATAGTACATATATTTTCGTGAGGTATAGATTTATGAATGAACAGGTGTTCCACCTTTGTATTGTATTCTGGTGGTCTTCCAGTTCATTCTTCTCTTTTTTCGTATATTGTGATGTTGTTTAGAGTGACCCTTTACGTGAGCATGATTTAGTTCATTCCCTGTTCTCAACAGAGCTCGCTGCTGAGGTATCAAAGCCTAAGATTTTACAGAAAATGCATAGATTTTAGAAACTGCGGTTACGACACAGAATTGTCAGGTACAGGGTAAGCTAATTAAGGTGTACGTCCCATGATGCACAGAGAGCCCAGGGGCTGCCTGAATGTCATTGAACATGAGGTCCTATAAATGCAATAAAGCCAATCTTTAGGTCAAAGTACAAAACACATGAGGGGAGGTCACAAGGGCCATTCCTGTCTGTCTCCTTCCAACTGCCTATACTAGCACAATGTTGGCAGAAGTTATTATTATTATTATTATTGCCATTTATATAGCGCCAACAGATTCCGTAGCGCTTTACAATATTATGAGAGGGGATTTAACTATAAATAGGACAATTACAAATAAACTTACAGGAACAATAGTTTTACTTGTGTGGATAAAATTAAAGATTCATTTGAAAACAATTGGGACAATATCAGGTTACAGATGAAATGACATGTTCTGTTTCCTAAATTTCAGCAGAGCTAATCTATTCTCAGAGTACTATAGAAGTTATGTTTAGTAGTGAGTGGAGCAAAATAAAACAGTATTAAAACAACAGTATTAAAAAATTGTATACAAACTCATTAGGTATATGGAAAAGTAGAACTCATTAGGTAGCTAGCCCCTTACTAGATTTGATGGAGAGTTAGAGCGGCTTCCGCCGTTACTCACTAAAACAGCTTATACAAGTCAATGGGTGGGCTGCTGTCACTCCTCCGGCTCGGCTACCCTCTGCTTTTAATTTATATTATAGTATATTCTATATTTCTCTCTATTAATGTGTTTGTTTTAACTCTGCATGTAGCAGACAATAAAATGGTTATACTTTTCCAGCATTTTGCATTTGAACCTATTCTATAAAATATTATATTTGGAAAGATCATATTGATTATTTACAATTAAGACTTACTAAGCGAATGCCAACTGATTCATTGTTGTCAGTTTAATACAATCTGCACTATCATTGCATTTTTTATGTTTTTCTCTTACATATCTCAACCATTTCTGGGAAGAATTAGCATATACCTAATGAGTTTGTATACAATTTTTTTAATACTGTTTTAATACGGTTTTATTTTGCTCCACTCACTATTACACATTGCTCTCTGTTGGTGAATTTGGGAATTACACCAGAGTGTGAAGCACTTTTATACACCTGGTCGTATAAGGCATTTTTTTTTTAGCACCCAGACTTATCTTTTTTTATTTGTACTATAGAAGTTAGCTGTAAACCAATTTAGTCTAATTCCTAGACTGTTAGCCAGAAGTAAAGATGATAAAAGTAGTCACTGGTATTCGAATACAGAAACAATATTTGAAACAAATGATCTGCTCATGAAGTTGAAGGATAACCCGCATCAATTTATTGAAGGACGCGTTTTACATGGTTCCAGTTTAAGGTGTAAGGGAAGATACTCACGTGATTGAGGAATTTGCTGTCTTTGGTTGCCCAGCCTATCTGCATGACTCCAGAGGTAATAACCGTAACTTCATAGTACCAGACACCAGAATCTACGCAAAATGTGCAGCGAACACTCTCAAAGGAGGAGGCATCACATCGAGCCTAACACACAAGAAACACACATTAGCTGGGAACAAAGTCAAGATGTATAATAAAATCAGACAAGTTCCAGACGGCTATTTGATACTACAAAAAACGGCCTTCAAGACAAGAAAATATCGACCCTACAAAGGTGATTTGGGGATGGGTGACAGTTTGAGGAGCAGTCACTTCATTTGCAATCTTTAACTCTAGGATAATAAAATAAAGAGTCACCAAAAAGGAATGACATCCTTTCGGATAGATAGGAAGGTTTAGGTAATGGGCTCAAGATAAGTGTGTAACTCCTTAAATCCCAGTAGATCAACCCACACCTTAGGGTGAAAAAAAATGAAATCGAGAATAAAAATAGCAAAAAGAAGAAATCAAATTGCTGCAACCAGGAGATAGTTACGAACACTTAAAATTTTTAAATGGTTATATATATATAAATAAATAAAATTTGGTTTGTCCTACCACTTCTGCTAACGTTTGATTCAAATATTGGGGTTTTAAATATACCCATTTAAAAATGAAATGTTCGTAACTATATCCTGGTTGCAGCAATTTGATTTCTTCTTTTTGCGATTTCTATTCTCCATTTCATTTTTTTTCAGCCTAAGGTGTATAATTAGTATCAACAAGTGCAGGAAATAATAATGATATCATATGTTTTCTCCAACATATTAAGGACTGATATCATTTCTATTCTCTTTAACTCTAGGATGATGGCAAAAATTCACAATAAAATTCAAATATAGTAATTTGCTTAGCACAATGTAAAACTATCCTTTTTCTTCTACACAAATGATCAAAATTTACAAAGCCCCACCACCCCTCCCCGCAAAAATTAAAAAAAATATACAGCTTCTTATTACTTTTGCATTCTGTGTTATCACCAGCCAAGGTTTCAAGATACAATGGTATAGGTGATCACTGGGAGACACAGGGCCGAAGTTCAATCGGACATTGGCTGCCGACTGTTCTGTCATTCCGAGTAATCTTATGAACACAGAAACCTCAGTGTCTGCATCTTTCTTTAATCAGTCTGTTCATAGAACTTCTACAGGACTCTGGATGGTGGCATGGGGGTCTTTTATTCCCACTAGATGTACTGCATTTGCTAAATCCAGTGTGGAGTATTCACATTAGTAAATAAATAATTACACTGCACACGAATCACAATATACCATGGCTTGACCAATAATCTTATATCCAACTAGCTGATATGCTGGCAGGCAGAGAGTGGTATACGGATAATCTGTGCCTTATAAATACACACAATTCTGAAGTCTCTACAAACTGAGCCACAACACCCAAGCAGGTTTATAAAATTGTAGGTCCTCTGTTTAAGGTATGCAGATTTTAAAACTGTTCCGAGGCAGAACAATTGCAGAGCCATTTTAGGAAAAATACAATCATTAATAAGTGTTAAAGAGGCATATATAAAACCAGCTTACTTCTAATCCATAAGGAGAGATCTTGAGGTACTCGCTTACATCATTACTATTAAGCATGGCGTTAATTGGCGTTAAGTCTGCTTTCTCATAGGTTAGCGCTCTTCCTTCTTTTAAGACTGCAAACAAAATGAGAAGGTTTATTCCCCTAGGGTTCACGGCAAGTTAAGGATTTAGCAAAACACAAGACGATATTAAGCATTGAAACGTAAGCAGTGCAAACAAACAAACAGATGTCTGACAACAACGCACACAAACAAACCAGGCCTCAATGATACATAAAAACTTAACAGCACGCACAGGTTATGGGAAACAAGACGTAATAACAAAACCCAATAAAAACTCCAACTACTCACACCCTTTGGTTATGGGAGGGTTAAGCAATCACCTACTTCCAAGGAGACTGACGTCTCGTATTAAACCGTATGCTGTAGCTTATGTTTGTATGTGGTCATTAGGAAAACAGGGTAAGAAGGGAGTGTTGGCAATCAAAATGCAGCATTCACAATCCTGCAAAGTAGGACACCCCTCGCCCAGCGCTAAGTAACCATTGACTATCGCATTAAATCATGTTTGCCAGCAGTTTACAGGTCAGCTTTCATATTCTATTCAAAACTAATTTTTCTGGGCAACACAAGGAGTATAAAGCATTCTAAATAAATCCAGAAACACAATTTACATAATGCAGTGCTTTTAGTTGTAGAATTTGTGCACAGATCAAATCTTGAGTACAGCAGCAGTTATTTCCCAGGTGGACCAGACCCATTAGTGAGAATATTCTTTTTACTCGGCAAATAGATTTGTATGTGATAACAGCCATCTAGAAACAGACTTTACCAGTTTGGCAGAAAATAATTGGGGGAGCAGTCTCCTAATAAGATGGGGTAATTCAGATTTGTCTATAGTATCCACCAAACCCGTGCAAATACCCCAAATTTATCTCCTCTCTCAACTGACCTATTTCAGCCACAAAACTGCGTTGCAGATCCTTCAATAAGCTTTTTAGGGTCTCCTCCGGGACAGCTAAGCCATAAGAACTTGCAACATGTATATGAGTATGCTCCAATTTGATCTTTCTCATCACTAATCGAGGTCTCACTAGATGACCGCAAGGGCCTCCCAGGCAGCAACGCTATAACAGGACTCTGGGAGGTATGCAGCCTTCGAAGGATATCTCCCATGTCAGTGGTGAGATTTATTTTTCTTGCTTCTGTGACCCATAGTTATAGGAGGGTATCCCAAAAAGCTGGGGCCACTAAAGAATGTGTGAATTAGTCGTTTTTCATTGGGTTAAGCAACTCTGAGCGCTGCAAAAACTTTCCCTACCAGAATGGCTGCTTGCTCTGTACCATGCCTCCATTGCTAGTATTTTATTATTTTGGAGATTAAGATGAATATAATTATACTGTTATGTCAAAAATGATCTACTTATAACACACAACCAGGAAATGTAAATTACCTTACATCTCCCATGATTCTTAATTTATCACAGGCAACGATGTAAATTAGAATTCAATCAAATCTGTGTGGCCATACCAACTTGCAAAAACAAGGAAACCGCTAAAAAAGTAAGGATGTTTAAATGTGAGCTCCTTATTTAAAAAGGGACTCTATAGGCACCCACACCATTTATCTCATTGAAGTGGTCTGGCTGCAGTGTCACGGTCTCCTTAGTCCTGCAATGTAAAACATTGCATTTTAGAGAAAATGATTATATTTACATAACAGTACTAAGACGGTCTCTAGTGACAGTCTACTAGACAGCCATTAGAGGTGCTTCCTAAAGTTTCATAAGGAGGACATCCAATGTCAAGGCAATGCTTTCCTATGGGGAAGGCTAAATGCGTGCGACACTTGCAGTACATGCTCATTAGCCCAGCCCTGACAACGGAGCAGGAGGACCGCAAGCCAGCTAATAGTAACATCAGTGCTGGAATCAGCTAAATTAATAAAGGGCTATTTAACCCTTTACATCGCCGGAGGAAGGGCAGTGCGGACCGAGGAACACAGCGTTAGGAATAAGCAGATCTGTCATGGCAAGAAAGTATTATTTTGTCTGTATTTTTTTCAAATCCAACACTGCCTAATAGATTATCTCACTTGGTGCATTGAGGAGAAGGAGGAGAAGGAGGAGAAGGAGGAGAAGGAGGAGAAGGAGGAGAAGGAGGAGAAGGAGGAGAAGGAGGAGAAGGAGGAGGAGAAGGAGGAAACCCCCCCCCCCTGTCCCCCTCCCAAAAAAACAACTCAGATTTGATGCCTCTAATTGAATTGCAATGAACTGCTATTTGCAGTTGCTACCTTTAATTCTGTGGCTCTCCTAAGGGTGAAATGCATAGAGATTTCCTAGCTCTTCTTCTCGCAGTTGAAGAGTGGCTGAACTTAGGACAGATGTAATAAAATAGTAGCGGTTGGTAGGAATAGAACTTCCACCAAAACAAACAACAACAAAAAACAAAAAAAAACACACACAAATATATAACCTCAAGGTTCGGAAACATTCAGAAGTCTCTCCTGTTTTATTATGATGTCTCCAGAACCCCCAGTAGCATTCGCCTACACACTTCGTTGTTTAGGTGTATGAATACACAAACCCTATAAATAAATAGTGCTCACAGCCACGTACTTCTTCTAAAACATCAAAACAGACCATTAAGGAAGAAGTTTTAGGTTTATATTGGAACATGGATAGATTCACACACACTCAGGAAAAGTATATACAAAATATATACAAAAATAGGTATACCACCTATTGTAGACGTAAATATGTTGATTACATCTGAAAAACAAATGGAACATACATAGTGCTTTCCATATAAATTAAATAAACAAACTATAATATTTGAGGATAAAACTCACAAAGATGGAGCCTCATAGGCTCTATGTACATCACTCTTGGGTGCCTATTCAGGCTCTCGATAGATTTCTGTTGGAAGAACTCGAGGTCCACAGTAGTAGATGCAGATACAAATTTATTGAATAATAATAATAAAATATTAAAAGAGAATATAGATAACTAGGGACAAGGCAGGTATAATCATGGAATATAATACAGTATTGCACCGCAAATGGCCAAAAAAAATAAAAGCAGTGGAACACTACTTCATAGACAATTTTTTTTTTTTTTGTCTATGAATTGTAGTGTTCCACTGCTTTTATTTTTTTTGGCCATTTGCGGTGCAATACTGTATTATATTCCATGATTATACCTGCCTTGTCCCTAGTTATCTATATTCTCTTTTAATATTTTATTATTATTATTATTCAATAAATTTGTATCTGCATCTACTACTGTGGACCTCGAGTTCTTCCAACAGAAATCTATCGAGAGCCTGAATAGGCACCCAAGAGTGATGTACATAGAGCCTATGAGGCTCCATCTTTGTGAGTTTTATCCTCAAATATTATAGTTTGTTTATTTAATTTATATGGAAAGCACTATGTATGTTCCATTTGTTTTTCAGATGTTAACAACATATTTACGTCTACAATAGGTGGTATACCTATTTTTGTATATATTTTGTATATACTTTTCCTGAGTGTGTGTGAATCTATCTATTTATCTTTCTACTTTGTCTTTAGGTGTTAAGGGATTACACCTTTTTTCACACTCACTCATATTGTTTGTATTTAAGGTTGGAAGCGCCTACACAACTATATACTTTTTGTATATTTTGTTTTGTTATATTGGAACATGGTCCGCTGTCACACGCAGACAGGAGGGGTGGAGGGTTATAGCGAAATTCTTAAACAAAAATCCAATTCTGTCTTTCATATGGAACACTTCAGTTATGGATACAAAAAGTTATAGCCTAGGACTGCAAGAAATTGAAGGAATTGGCTACTGTGCAACATCACTATATCCATTAGTTACATATCTTAAAGGATTGGGAGCAATGCTTACATAGGTTGTCCAAACTCCACTGAGCACAGAACCCGACCTGCCGCTTTAAGTAATCTGCATTATTTGTCCAGCTCTCTAGTAAGAGGAGGCGATCGCTGATTAGTGATTCAGAAACAGTCATTTTATTTTCACCTGAAAAAAACAACAACAAAAAACACACATTTGTTGTGTTACAGTGTGTCACTCCAATATAGCTTTGAGGTGGACGAAGAGCGACAGATTAATACTTACTAGTTTGTGAAAATTTCTCCAGTGCAATGAGTGCAAACAGGATTACCATGGGATGAAACCTGAAATTCTGCAAGACAGAGAGTTTGGTTAAATGCTTAGTGTTCAGAACAGGCAATTACAGCTGTCAGTACTGCATCAGAAACTCCAACTCTTATAGAAAAAGGTTCCCATGGTGCTCAGCCAACCAGGTGACTGGTTAAAGGAACACTCCAAGCACCATAACCACTGCTGCTCACTGTAGTGGTTATGGTGCCAGAAGTGGCCTGGAACCTTCCCTAATTGTAAGCAGTCAACAGTATGACTTCTTACCTGGTGCCCACTGATTTGAGCTCTCCTAAAAATGCCTGGAGTGCTATCAGCCAATGTGCTAAGCCCTGCATTGCAGGAGTGGGAAGTAGAAACCGCAAACCATTCAAAAACTATTTGAATACCTGCAGATGGTGGAGGTTATGGAGCATTTCTTTAATGTAATCTACAACATATTGAGGCCAAAAAGTACTCCCATCCCTACATCTATCAAGTTCATGCATCTCAAGCTCTGCCGCCACCCCACCCCACAGATGTTGCTGACCAACAACTTGCCAACTCCCATGACTCTCTGGCCATCTCATGCTTTCAAAGATTCTGGTTGGTGCAGGCCATCAACATCTGGAGGGATCAGAGTTGGAGATTCCTAATCTAGAAGAAGGCTTTCACTGGCTGTACCAAACTGTGCTCATGGAAACTTACCAAACTTTCTAATAAATACTCCAAAATCCCAGGGCTCAGTAAAGAAACACTAGCAGGCCCTGAAAGAGATTATAAAGATAAATTCAAAACAAACAAAAACAGCTGTACACAATACACATTTATACACAAATAGTTTCTGGTTTCATACATGACCCATACTGAAAACAAGGAATCTGGCCATCTATTAGGCTTCCCAACAATCTGTAACACCTATTCAGACTATGTATATGCTAGATTTCTCTTTGGGACCAAGTTGTGCGAGAATCCCCCAATTTGGTACAAAATTGGAAGTAGTAACTAACCTCTCTTTCATGGTCACCAGTACTAGGATGTACTAACAAATCAGAATACATTCGAACATCCCATCATTAAAAAGAGAGTCACTTGTACTCCGCATGGTAGAGGAGTCAATAAAACCACCCAGATGAGTAGATGCAGAAGAAACATGTGGCTTATTATTTTGTGGGGGGCTGAAGCCTGACTTACCTGCCAGTTTCTCAGCTAAGCACCCTAATACTGCTGTTGTATTGCGGTGTTTGGCAGGGTTGCTGGCATCTTGGATTGCCGTGGTCCCACTCAAATGTAACTTTTCTGTCAACTTTTGGAGGGCATCCTTAAAATACAAGATTCAGAGTTACACTGATTGATAAGTACGGTTACTCCGTTAATTAAAATATACAATAGTTCATACACAACAGTGAACAAGTTAGAGAAAAAGTACACATTGTATTATTGAGGCCATTTTGCTCTGGTTTTTTTTTTTTTACGCCCTGAAGCCAATGTCTCATCACATTCTTTTAACACTGTAAAATTATTACAGTCATCCCATCGCCACCTTGAACAGTTATCACACTCAAGTGTAATCAATAAGTGGATTCTTGCGCACAGAGAGATTAGGGCACAAACAAAAATAACTCCTATCAGACAGAGGGTAAAATGTCACGCGGATACAAATATTGACAGAATAAAGAATATCCAACATCACAATATAAGCCTCATTGATTAGGTATTGGAAATAGCATCGGCAGTATAATACAATACAATCATACCACAATCAACACGCTTCCCAGTGACACGCAGATACTTTCACAGCCTGGGTGCACTAAACGGCACTGGTTAGAGACGAATATGATGTTTGGGCACCTTGCTGACCCCAAGTAGCCACAGTAAGACCTTCTAATACACAATTGTGTGAGGATATCCCGCCCAGTCTAGTCTGGTAACCTTATCTAAATCATACAGACAGAATAAACAGGACTGAAAATAGTCACTTGGAGCAAAGATTATGGCTGGTTTGTAGGAGTTAAAGGGACACTGCAGACACCCAAAGCACTTCAGCTTGTGCGCGAACAAACGGTAGTTTTCAGTTACTCACACACACACACACCCCATTTGTTTTTGGCATTCTTTACATGCTGGGAAATGTACAGCACAATCCAGGCGTCTCATCGATGACTAGTAAGAGACAATTACGGAATCTACGTATTCACAAAGAGGCAGGAATTCTCTAGTGTAATAAGTAAAAGAGCTTGTACTGCAGGTCACCGGTTTGGGTGTAGATAGGAGTTGCACACATAGCAGAAGACAGTGTGCCATTCTTGAAAAGCAGCTAACCATGGCCCAGAAGATACGTGGTGGATAAAGCATAACACGAGAAGCACTGGAAAGCTGTAGTTGTGTGTGCTTGCGACTACAGCACAGAGGCTGCTCAATGAGAAGCCTAGGATTGGAGTATACCTGGGGGAAAAGGGGAGGGCTTGCAAAGGCTACAGAGACGAAATCTGCAGCTTTCGCAAGCTGATTTTAGATATACTCTTGATTATAAAAAAAAAAATGCATGCATGTTTTCATTGAGGTTATACTATAGCAGTGATTTAAAACAGAATGGAGGAAATGGAGTGGTCCTTTAACAAACACATTTACAATCAAGAAATAATCAGAAATCAGATATTATAAAGGAGAGCAAAATCTTGCTCTGTAAAAATCTGTCAACTCAGTATCCAATAAGGATACAGATTAGCCTAATCCAGGGATTGCTGAAAGGCAGATTCCCAGCTCGTTTAGAACTATCTCTTCCGTGATGCTTTGCTAGCATTAGCAACTCCTATCTAGATAGAAAAGTTGTCTGAGATCCAGCTGGTTAACATCAGACATTGAGAATATTTCAGCGGGCCTGGTAAGCTGTGGGCACCTGGCTCATAGTATGGCCAAGAATGGCTGGTAAACCAAGTGAAATGGCAATACCTATTGTTGCTGGGATTGCAAAGGTAATTCTGTGCAGCACTCAAAAAAAAAAGGCGGAAGAAAAGGAAAAAAAGTGTTTGTGTTTATAGTAAGGTACACATTGTTGATGGGGGAGTGCATAGCTCTTTGTAACCATTCTACATTACGGTAAAGCAAAGGACTGTCTATGGTTGGATTAGAACTGCTGGAATATTTGATGTCACAGGTGTGAAGTTTCACAAAGCTGAGATCAAAGAGTTCTTTTAAGAGTTAGAGTAGTGCTCCCCAACACAGTCCGTCAAGGCACACCTACAGCTCAGCATTTTCTACATCTGTTCCAGCGGGAACAGTGACAAACCCTGGACCATTGGAGTGCCTAGAGAACTGTGTTGAGAACCACTAGACTAGAGTGAATTTGGTTGAGGTTACAGCTGTGGTTTGGGATGATGGGTGTAGTACTTCTGTGTTCTAATGATATTGCATTCTCTAGTGGTTGTAAGTGGTTCTACTCAAAAGAAAGTAAAAACAGTAAAGGAATAAAGCCAATTTAGACTTCCTTTGTTATGATGCCCACTTGGCTTGTCATACAGGTTCCAGAGTATGAAACCAAGCTAGCTGCGAGGACTAAGAGAAACAAAAATATGAACACTGAGTCAGAAGGAGTAGAGGAAGACATTAGAATATTTATGTTTTTGGATTTCAGGGAACTGCATATGGTGAGGGGGATGGCTCCTTTCTGGCAGGGATAGAGAGAGTTGACAAAATCAAGGTCACAGTCATGGGGGAGGATCTGCATAATAGGTTTTGAAGATAGGATGCTACTGCAAAGCAGATTTAACCAGTATTCGAGACAGTGATTAATGGTTTGGTAAGCAGATTTTGTAATGGCGGTATAAAGAGGAAGGAAATTTAGAGGCAAATGTGACTTATTTGACAATGCAAAGAGGTTACCACATTAATGCCTTTTAATCAGGCATGCGGGGAAACGTCTGCAGCCCATAAAAAGATCTACAATAAAGTTAAAAAAAAATATAAACTTGACAAAATTCTAAGCAAATCCAAGACAGACATGGAGGCCATGGCATGGTGATTGGAGAAAACCAGTCCTCCTGCAATGTAACAACGTTTAAAAAATAAAAATAAATACATTTCCCCCCAAACATACAAATTTACGAGAAGGGAATTTGCAGGCTATAAATGTTGTGGGAACCTTCTTTTGGATTCACAGAGTAAAAAAAAAAAAAAAAACCTTTAGAGGTTGAATTTGATAGACTTTTTCCTATACTAGATTACCATGTAATTATCTAACCGGAGATTCAGTTGGGAGCATGAGAAAAAGGGGTACATGCTCAATTGAGATCAGTTGATGTAGGTTGGTTATCTCGCAAGGCTATGAGAAGGACTGGAAGCAAAAGGTGACTATTGCTGGTAAAGGTCAGATGACAAAAAGTGAAGTTTTCTTAAGTTCCACTCCTTGTCAAGCGTAGAACATTTTGTTTACAAAAAATAAAAAAAATAAATAGATCAGAAAGAAAGAAGAAATTCTGAAAGAGGAAGAGAAGCGGAAATAATAGGGAAAAATATATATATAAGTTTGGGGTGATACTCAAGCATAAATGTAATCCCTCCTGTTAACTACAGGCACTTTAAAACACAGAAGTAATGATCATTTTGTTGCATAATTGCAATGAGGGAGCAGCTTTAACAAAAAACAAAGCTTACAGTCTTATCTGACTCATTTTGCTTTTTAACTGAATAAGTGTTGCGCATGCATGCTGTAACATGAGCAGTAATTCAATTCATCAAAAGCCAGTCAATATATATTTTATACACATAATACCCAGATGGGCTTGTTTGACAAATCAAAGCAGTAAATACAATTTTTCATTGAATGTCTATCAGAATAAATCTATATTAGACACAGCAGGACATGCTGGCAAATCCCAAACAGGTTTTTTTTTTTTTTTATTGGCTGCAAAAATAATTTCACTAAGAGGTCCCTGGCAGCAAACTGTTTAACTTTACAGAGCATTAGTAAAATGAGTTTAGTAGTGCATAAATCATTAATTACTGCACATTGTATTCCTGATGATTGTTGCTTAGGCTGGATTTCTAATTCGTTATCAGCATGCAAGTCATTAATTGCTCGGTGCAATCAAAGAATATATTTGGCAAAGGATAGGATCATCAAAACGTACTTTTGTTGGCAGCGGACATTCATCTAGCAGTAAGGTTATGACAGCAGGACCCAGAGGATCTTCTAATGGAATGACTCTAATAAGAGACTGCACCACATCCAGCCAGCCATTATCTGTAGGTAGAATGCGAAACGCACAGGAAAAAAAAAAAAAAAATCAAATCGTTGAGAAATATTGCTTCATCATCACATAGAAAATAGAAGTGTGACTCATTAAACATTACATAAAATAACATGATCACAAGTTAACTGCTCTTGCCTGTGAGGAGTTAAATAAAAAAATAAAAATAAAAAAAATGAAGATTTCAGGAGGTTTCTAAAGAAGCACCTTCCATGGATTCGATATAAATAGTATAGAAATCCTACAGGCAGAATTATGTCCATGTGCCTGGCATGTCTAAGGCTAAACAAATCTGGTTTTGTATTATTTATAAAGCGCCAACAAATTCCGCAGTGCTGAACAATGGGTGGGCTATCATGGTACGTGCTTACAAATCTCTACACAATGCTGCTCCAACCTACCTATCCTCACTAAACACAAATATGTCCCGTTTAGGCATCTATGCTCTGCCGAGGGCCCAAGTCTATCCTATGTTCGTACTCCTACCTCTTAAGCTGGCCATTCACAGATATATTGACAGTTGTAACAGAACACAAACTTACCGGTTTCGGCCATCTCGTGTAATGTAATCATTGAATAAGGAGGTTCCTGATCACTGGAAAAACAAACACATTTACAATCAAGAAATAATAATCAAAAATTATACAGGAGAGCAAAATAAAATAATTTGAAATAGTTCTGTTCAGAGAGACCAGTGCCAAGGAATATTGCCAATTCACAGATGTTTGAACTTTCATTTTGGGAATCAAAGCCAAGCAGATACAGAGTTCTTGTTCTATAGTTTTTTACATATGCACCAAGCAGCCCTGGCTCCTGAAGCAAGCAGATACCGGTGAGAATAAGTGATATAGAACTCTTTTGGAAGCTACAGAAATCATTGGCTCCTAAAACTAGTTTTCTTTCCTCCTAAGTGCTAAAATATATTCGTTATTGAGCCTCCTAGCATGCAGGTAGTCATAGACAGCGAATCCCCCTATGTACAGGGAGCCATAGCCACAGACTGCGAATCCCCCTACGTACAGGGAGCCATAGCCACAGACTGCGAATCCCCCTACGTACGGGGAGCCATAGCCACAGACTGCGAATCCCCCTACGTACGGGGAGCCATAGCCACAGACTGCGAATCCCCCTGCGTGCGGGGAGCCATAGCCACAGACTGCGAATCCCCCTGCGTGCGGGGAGCCATAGCCACAGACTGCGAATCCCCCTGCGTGCGGGGAGCCATAGCCACAGACTGCGAATCCCCCTGCGTGCGGGGAGCCATAGCCACAGACTGCGAATCCCCCTGCGTGCGGGGAGCCATAGCCACAGACAGCGAATCCCCCTGCGTGCGGGGAGCCATAGCCACAGACAGCGAATCCCCCTGCGTGCGGGGAGCCATAGCCACAGACAGGGAATCCCCCTGCGTGCGGGGAGCCATAGCCACAGACAGGGAATCCCCCTGCGTGCAGGGAGCCATAGCCACAGACAGGGAATCCCCCTGCGTGCGGGGAGCCATAGCCACAGACAGGGAATCCCCCTGCGTGCGGGGAGCCATAGCCACAGACAGGGAATCCCTGCGTGCAGGGAGCCATAACCACAGACGGGAATCCCCCTGGGTGCAGGGAGCCATAGCCACAGACAGGGAATCCCCCTGCGTGCAGGGAGCCATAGCCACAGACAGGGAATCCCCCTGCGTGCAGGGAGCCATAGCCACAGACAGGGAATCCCCTGCGTGCAGGGAGCCATAGCCACAGACGGGAATCCCCCTGAGGGAGCCATAGCCACAGGGAATCCCCCTGCGTGCGGGGAGCCATAGCCACAGACAGGGAATCCCCCTGCGTGCGGGAGCCATAGCCACAGACAGGGAATCCCCCTGCGTGCGGGGAGCCATAGCCACAGACAGGGAATCCCCGTGCTGCGTGCGGGGAGCCATAGCCACAGACAGGGAATCCCCCTGCGTGCAGGGAGCCATAGCCACAGACAGGGAATCCCCCTGCGTGCAGGGAGCCATAGCCACAGACAGGGAATCTTCCTGCGTGCAGGGAGCCATAACCACAGACCGGGAATCCCCCTGGGTGCAGGGAGCCATAACCACAGACAGGGAATCCTAGCCCAAACATTTATGCCACATTGCCTCCAGGTAAAGTGCACACAATTAAGCAAACACTTTAGACACCCAGACCACTTCATCTCAATCTCACTAGTCCTGCCATCTTAACTGGGCAATATAAAAAAAACACTGCAGTCTATTTTGAGAATCTGCAATGTCTACAATGGATGGTTAAAACACACCTCTTCCAGCTGTCATCCTGACAGCCACAAAAGGTACTTCCTCCTCTGGAACAGAGTAAAACTTGGAATCAAATGCTGCCGGTAGCAGCATGACATTTGGTTGGGCACGCATACCTCCAAATCTGTGGCAACAGATTTTCAAGCAGGCAACAGGTCCATTTACTTCCTGGTTTGGTTCGCTAATCTGCACTGAACTCAAGAGGCAGTAATTGCCCAGAGCACCTGCCTTGCAAATACTTCTCATTGAGCTGGATTGGGAAGTCTGTGATTGGAAAGTCTCAAAGTCTGGGCGGGGTAAGAAGAGGAGGGCTTGCAAAAGCAGCAGACGAGATTTGCAGCTGTTTTTAGATGGAACTTTCAATAAAAAAAAATAAAAAAAAGTTTTCATTTGGGGTATATCTACTAAACAGTGATTTTAATTTATTTTGTATTTGGGCAGTGGAGTGTCCCTTTAAGTGACTGACCTCCTAAACCGCAGTGAATTGAGCAATGAGACTGCAAAAGCATGATCTATACACCAAAACAACTTAATTAAGCTAAAGATGTTTAGGTGCCTATAGTGACTCTTTAAAACCTAAAATGTAAATATTGTTGTACCTGCAGATTGGCAATGTTTTACACTGCAGAGTTATAACAGGAACATGGCACCAAGACCACTGCATTGAGATGAACGAATCTGGGTGTCTATAGTATCCCTGTACATACTACTGCAATAAACGTGTTACATTTCAGCTTTTGATGGCAGTAGTATTTTTAGATTTACAAAGAATCAATGTTTACCAAACAAACAAAAAAAAAAAATATTAGAGAACTCATCAACAGCTCATCTTCTAGACAGGATACATGACCTACAAACAATTTGCAATGAGCAAATGTTAGAACATTTCTTGATCTCACAACATCCAGTTATTCTGAGGAAGACGACATATTTATCACAGCCAAACAGTGTTTTTTTAATCTGATGTGTGAAAACGGGGTTTTACGCACAGCACTAGTCTACAGTCTCTTCCTTTGTAAGATTTGTTTTGGAGAAATACCCATTTTAGATCTTATTTATTATTGGAGGTAATGCATGGCTGTCTCATAGCCCTGTCTGGGATAGCAAGGAGTTTCACATCAACGTTCTCCAATATTTCATACAAAGGCCTATCACAACCTAAAGCTCTACTAAAACATTAAATAAGGAGAAAGAAGGGACCAAATTCTACTATGAAGCACAAAAATGAACATTGGTTTAGACCGTTCATGCAGAAATTTAAAGTGTACTAATTTATCATTTTCAGGCTGCTCAAATTGATACATTTTATGTTACAGACAATCATAAATCGGTAAATTGAAAACCAAAATGTCAAAATTTAGTTAAAAAAATAAAAATAACAAAAATTTGAAAAACGTCATGTTGCCTGTATTTGCAATTCGGCGCTCAATGACGAAACCCAATGTTGTTCCATGAATGAGAATGTTGCATGGCAACAGAAAGCAGAAAAAGCGAAAGCTAATACAATGTTGCATAACAAGAACCAATGGAAATAGTCCCTGTGACCACCTCGTCCTTATGTCGCCAAAAAGACTTTCTCTTCTATTTTAGGAATGTAGGAGATAATAAAGTTTAGTTAAATTGAAATGAAGGCATAGTTTCAAACAATAAAAAACACAAAAAAATTCAAATATGTAAAAAACACAGCTTAGAGAAACTATAAATATATTTGGAGATGCCACTACAATAAATTTTAAAGTAAGAAAAGGGCTTACTTATCTACTAGAGTTCTGATCACAGCCAAAGTATCCAGCACCAGGCTGTCCACATTCGTCTTTTTCCTCCGTGGCTCATGTGGTCCCCGACCCCTTCGTGGCGTTCTCACAGGGTCCCTAATTCGGCTTCTAGAATCATTTGCAGGTACAGTGCGGTTATCTGTTTGCTGGCTTGAAGAATCAATATTGTCCTCCACTCCACTATCTTCTCTGCATACACAGGTGTTCCCCATAGTTGTGGCCCCCAATTGTTCATTGAAACACACTCTGCAGTGCCCAAACCTCACCAAAAGAGCTTGTACAATGCTCCTACTAGCATAAAATGCAATAAAAGCAAGAACAATCATCTAGAAATGTGTATGCTTCACAACGTCACGATCTCCAATCCTGTTTTTTTCCATTATGTTCCCGTAAGAGATCCAAATCGCATGGATTTTCAGTGTCCAATATTATCTGAGAAATACATCCATCGCCCACATCCAGGTCTGAAACAAATAAAGACGGTAAAAATGCATTAAAAAAATTAAAAAAAAGAATACATTGACAGTTTGGTTTATCTCAGACAAGAACTAATTAATAGCTTTTATTCATATTAATGGTACCTTAAAAGGGTTAATCTAGGTGCTTTAGCAACTTAATTGCGATTTAGCCCTTATGGCGAGAGAAGGTCCCAGTTTACTGCAATGGGTTAAACTATTAAAGGGACACTACTGTCCAGATTAAAAATAAAAAATAAATATATAAACCACTGTTTAGTAGATAGAACCCTCCCCCCCCACCCCCAAAAAAAAACAAAACATGCATTTAATTAGGCATTCTTGTCCATTGGGGCATATCAAAAAACAGATTGCAAAAAGCTACAGATCTCTTGTCTAAAACCTTTGTAAGTCCTCCCCTTCTTACCCCGCCCAGACTTTGTGTGACTGTCCAATCAGACTTCCCAATGCAGCTCACTGAGAAGTCTTTGCATGGCGGGTGCTCAGCTATTGACGATTCTTGAGTGCTGCTCAACTGAGCTAAACAACCAGTAGAAGTAACAAGACCAGTTGTCTGACAGCCAGAGGTTTATAACAAGGATAATTTATGGGAGGCGGGTAAGAAAGGCTCCCTCTTTACAATCAAAGCAATTCAGCAAGCTTAAGTGCTTTAGGGGGTCTGAAGGGTTACTTTACATAACGGTTTTACCCCAAAATGCCGAATCCAGCACCTGATCGATCTGCTAATCCAGCACCTTATCACTCTCCCTATCTCCTTCTGCCGCAGTCGGAGACTTGATACATGAAGCCACAAACTGGCACGGCTGATTAGCTGAGTTTTTTTCAAGACATTTTGTCAGTGTGTAGCACCTTAGGTAAGCCAGCGCCTGGGGAACTCCTTGCACCATAACAACTTAATTCCAACAGTGACACAATTTCTGAGCAAATTACAAGGGTGATTAATCCCTAAAGGTTATTTACTAAAGGATACATTGTCACGAACACAATGCGAACTTCAAACTATAGGTCATAACAGCCAAATTTATCCAAGCCAGTTTCATTTAGACTTTATTGGCCTAAAATTTGAAATTCCCAACTATAATCTTGTATGTATTTATGTGCTTTACTCATCGTTTAAAATTGTAGCCGTGAATGTACAGAGGTACAGATATTCTACCAATAGCAGGAGTGGAAGCCTAGATTGAAACTAGACTATAAATGACTGCAATATCCCTTTGTTAGAGGAGGAATTTCAGAAAATAGATAGGATTTGGATTGTTCAGGCATGGTCAATAGGGTTCCAACCTGTGCAACATTCTTCACCGTGAACTACAAATATAAAGGAGGAAAAACAAGAGAAAAGCAGGCAACAGCAATCCTCGACTAATGACAAAAGTGACATTGTAATCTTGTTTTACAGGCTTTTTGAACCTTGACTGATGCTTCAATTAACTTGTCGGTAGCAGCAGTGTTTTTAAGAGCAAGTCAAATTTGGCCACACTTGGAGACCTTCTTTTATGGGTGTTAAAAATGACGAATGTGTTTAATATCCAAAGCCCAGAATTGGGCAATAAAGTTCACAGTACATTCCATATAAAATCGGAAGAGCTATTTCTACCTACACAAGTTCCTAATTAAATAAATTAAAGGGACACTAAAGCACCAAAACAGCTTAAGTGTAATGATGTGGTTTTGGTGCATAGATCATCCCCGGCGGTTTCACTTGTCTGCCATGTAGGAGTTAAGTCACTTTTGCTTCTGCAGCCTTAACTACATCTCCTGTGACAGTCACTCACACAGCCAACATGAAAGGAAAAAGTTTCATATTCATATCTCACAGCAGTGTGTTTACTTTAGAAGTTTTTATCACCTGCTCTGATCATTGCCTTCTAGAACCTGCAGCAGCCTCCTGTGCATAAAGTTCAGTTAACAAAAAAAAAAGGATCGGAATTCCTTATGCTGAAAATAAATAAAATGTTACTTGTTCAGACAAATCAAAATTTATCAGCCATCATCACACCAATGCTCATCTTACCAGAAAACTGGTCTCTTACTGAACAGGCAGATCTTATCCGTGACCGAGCATGTAGATCAGAAACCTGCACTAAACTTTGCATTTTAGAGATGGGAGTTTGGTTGTATAAAGTGTTGCAAAACTACCATTACCTAAACTTTACTCTCTCTGATTTGATACCACACATGTGCAGCCCTGTATAAAAAGGAACGTTTACATCTGATCCTAATAATTTATGTTCCTCGTTACCTGTCTGGCAGCACACAGGACTTTCCATCTCGTAAAATGTTATATCTACCTTGCATTAAATTTATGATTAGAGGTTTCCCTTTATAATTAGAGGGTTCTCGAAAGAAAAGATGTCACCATATAGACGTCTGCCTACCTGGTCTCACCCGTAGGAGGTGGAGGCGGTGTCACATGGGACACAGGTAACAGAAAAACTTGTGTAAGATATAAAAGCTTTTCTTGTGACATCACAGCTTTGACTATTCAGGTTAACTCCTTCATTAAAAAGATAAAGAGACTCCGTAGTACCAGAAGGCTGTATTCCTAGAGTAAGAGCTTACCAGAGACAGCCTATTTCCTGCCCTCTCTTGGGCCAATAGGCAATCTGACCCACTAACTTCTGATTAAGCTTCATTATACATTAAAAAAATTTTATTTATTTTTTTAATGGGGGGCGGAGCCAAGCAGCCGAGCTGAACAGTCGCATGACAAAAGAGCTCCGGCATTTTCGGCCCCAAAATCATCTTTTGCACACAATTGCACCCGCTTTGGGCTCCTCTCAAGGTCCAAGGGTGATAATACAACAAGATGGGGCGCAAAACCAAGAAAATAAAACCCGAAAAACCGAGGCAGGGACCTAACATTGCGGATCTTCTGCAACAGACACGCGAGACCACTAGGCCCAAGATGGCTGCCTACCCGGAAAACTATTCCGACTTATCAGACGATTTCTCCTCAGGGGACGATACAGCGGACTTAACACCCATGCAGCGACCTACCCCAGCCGTCCGAAAGACGGATGCCTCACCGGTAACTACGGAGGTATTGAAGGCGCTCCTCGCGGACCTCCAAGAGAACATACATGCAGACGTTGCCTCACTCCGCAACGACATACACGTCCTGAAAGGCCGCATGGGAGCATTAGAGACTGCCTCCAACGTCTGCTCAGACCAACTTGCCTCACTACAACAAGAGGTTCAAGGTTTGCAGAAACTGAACGTCGAACATGAAGGTCGTTTTACGGCGTTAGAGGATGCACGCCGGGCTAATAACATTAAGGTACGGGGCATCCTGGAGAATACCCCACAGGCCGAACTACCGCACCTCCTGAGGCGCCTACTAGCGGCCCTACTATCACCACGGCAGGCAAAAGCACTCACCGTGGATGGTTTGTTCCGGGCACCAAAGCCGGCCTCGGCTCCAGCGACAGCGCCACGGGACCTGATCGTCCGGTTCCAGCAATATTCAGCCAAAACTGCTGTCCTGGCAGCGGCCAGAAACTACTCCCCCTAGAAATTCGAAACAATGGAACTATCTTTTTACGCGGACCTCACAGGGGGCACCTTGGCCCCTGGAGAAGGTCGCTCAGACCACTCACAACACTTCTGCAGAAACGTGGACTAAAATATAAATGGCACCAGACCCACAAATTGATGTTCCTACATGAAGATACAACATACGAAGTGCAAGACCTCCGGGAAGCCACAGCGCTACTCCCCACACTGGGACTCCCTCAGGACGCTCTGAATGGAGCTGTAACTCAAGGTACAACCAAACCGACACACAGGTGGAACCCCGAAAGTGTGACACCCTTCGTCCCTCGCGGTGCCACGGCTGACCTGATCGGGAATGTGACTACCTGAAACATGTTGGACACTGAACCGTGATATGCTGGACTTAATTGTTCAATTGTTACATATATTTACATGTTTTACAGCCACGGTTAAGTTATTAGGCTGCTAAAGTTAATTGCCTGTTGGCCACACTCCTTTAATAGGAAGGTCTATCGACCACTTTGCTTCGCCCCCCCGCCAAACCCTAGCCTAGCATACCTATAGACCACAAATCTGCCATAGCCGGGCGTAATTACTACTAGATTTAGGCATAACACGCCCCACATGAAAAATCCTGGCAGCATTTCAACGGCGACTAAATGCCAGTAACGCTCCTCACGATAGCTATACCAACCAGGATGAAACAATAAATTGTGTGTTTATCCCCAGTAGGGCCATGGTACCTCGTTATTTTATTTTATTATATTTTTAGTTCACCAGGGAACAGTAAAAGCAAATCACAAAATTTGCATATGTACACTTCTGTAAATTAGCACAATCTCGCACAGAATATAGCCTCAAACGTTCCCTGCAAGCCTTCTAGCAGGTCACTTTTATGACAAATATATGAAAATGCTTGCCTAGACCGGAATGTATCTTTTAGTCTTCTCTATATAAAACAAAAAATGTGCCTAGCTTATAACACCACATATTTATAATCCTTTGTTTTATGATCTGTGTACGACAACCATTGTGGTTATGCACACTTGACTGTTATGCTCATGCACGACCTAAATAAAGAATTGAAAAAATAAATAAATAAAATCAGATCACTGGTTAGTTCACTGCTGTACATTAAATATGTTTTTTTCACCTATGCAATTTATTTTTCCGCATACCTGTACCTGCCATGTCTGACACTTGCTAGTGAGATGAGTATAAATACAATTCAAAAATTTGTGTTACTGGTTATTCAATCATCTTTAACAGAAATTGTGGTATTACATAGTATCTATTGTCTTGCAAGGTTTTCCAACGATTCAGAAAAATTAAATATGCAGAAATACAATTTTGTCACATACAGCATGAAGATAAGATAGCCAGATCAAATAACCTGCTCAGAATGAAGCAATTCCAAGCAACTTTACGTCATTCCTGTGAGTGCAGCGTGTCCTAAAAAGACCACGTTAAAGAAACACTAAAGGGTCAGGAACACAAATATGTATTCCTGACCCTATAGTGTTAAAACCACCACCTAGCACCGAATATAGAAAACGTTTACTTTTGAGTCTGCTGCCTTGTATGAGCTTGACAAGGAGGCAGATCCAGCACAAGCCAAACACAGCATCTCCTCATAGAGATGTATTGAATCAATGAATCTCTGTGAGGAAAGTTCAGTGTCTGCATGCAGAGGGTGGAGACACTGAATGTCAGTCACACTGTGCAGCACTGCCCCAGGAATCACCTCTAGCAGCCATCTGAGGAGTGGCCAGTGAAGTGATCACTAGGCTGTAATGTAAAAACTGCATTTTCTCTGAAAAGCCAGTGTTTACAGCAAAAAGCCTGAAGGGAATGATTCTACTCACCAAAACAAATTAAATAAGCTGTATTTGTTCCGGTGACTATAGTGTCCCTTTAAGGTTAAAAATAAAATCTATATTTTGGGCATGATCTCAATGTACTGTCCCAATAAAGTAAGCATGTTGACTTCGGTTTCAGAACCAATGTAGTGCTTGCCGAGCCCTCTTAAATGCAAGAATAAAGTTTGCATCTACAGTCCCCATGAAGACCTGCAGACTTTCAGAGAGGAAACCTGGGAGATAAAAAAAAAAAAAATATATATATATATATATATATATATCTATCAATATAGAATGAAAATCAATATTGGAGGAGAAAAATAAATAAATAAATGGGGCCTTAAAGCAATGCTTTCAAGTACAAATTTAAAGTTGGAAATGAAAGTGAATATTCACCTGGTTCGATAGAACCACACTTTATCCACATGGCGAACACCACCTTTCGCAGACAATGGGAAACACTTTTGGACAAAGTGTTCTCATCTCAACAATGGGACAAAGCATTAATCTGGCAACATAAGAGTTCCATCAGCTCACAATACCAGGAGACTAACTATAAACTGTTATCACTGTGGTACAAGACTCCAACTCTACTTCATAGAATATTCCTGACAACAACCCCAACATGCTGGAGATGCCAAGCAGAGAGAGGGACGCCAATACATATCTGGTGGGAATGCCGTAACATTACGTACTGAGAGAGGATTAGAACCAGAGTGGCGGAGATCTTAGGAGACCCTGCCGGTTGGTCAGCTGAACTGGCCCTCTTGCATATATCCTCGCAATCTATATCGCTTTAAAAAAATAAAAAAATAAAATTGACACCTGCTAAACACAGCCAAGGCGGTTTACTGGAGGCGGGCGGAGGTACTCCGCGAGGAGGAATGGATCCGCAGAGTAGAGGGCATTCAGGGGGGCTGAAGCGATACAATCCTCTCTTTTGGGGAGGGCAAGTAAACATGCGGAAACATGGCAGCCATGGTTCGTGCTCATATCCCGGGGCCTATGAGTGACGGGGGACACTGTAGTTGGGGGTGATGGCAGAGACCACGCCACCCTTAGTAGTATCTGCACCCCCTAACCATATGTCCCCTGTGCTACACCACGACAACTGCTCATTCCCTGCAAAATGAGGCCGGACGGGGGTGACTCTGCTGGGGGTATTGATTATTATAACAGATCGCCCGTAGCTCAGTAAAATCCCCTTTCTTCCCCTCTTCTCTTATCTCTTTACTCTCTTACATCTTTTTCTCTTTTCTTTTCTATCCGTAGACTGCTCGAATCAGAAGACTACACAAACTAACTGAAACCACACTCACATTACGACAAGGGTTGCAATAAATGCCCAAAATGTGACCAAGACGGCTACATCATCTTGACATCTCCCACAACTACCGTATGCATGCAGTGACAAACACATGCGATGGGACACGTACATGTAGGAGAATGATAAGGACATGTAAAAAAAACATGAACATGAACAAATGAGTAACACAGGACTTCCCTTCTAATAATTTTTTATATCCATTTTGCTGCATTTTCAACAGTAAAGTGAGAGTATATGATAAAAAAGTGCTATATTCTCGTAAAAGGTCTTTGAAAGAAACAATGAAAATAAACATCTATCGATATATCTCAAGTGTATGTAGCAAAAGGCTTTCTATATGCAAGAACTTCCTTCCTATCCTCCACTAAGGAACAAAATAAAAAATGACAATAAAGATATATGTCTCTAAGAAAACAAACATGCTTTGCTATTCTGAAATCCTGCTACATTTCTATAATGAGCTGCACAACATTTATGGCAACAGTTTGTTAGCACTAGGGGATAATGAAATCAACAAGTACATTGTGTAAACATGGTATGTAGAGTTCTTTCAGACTCTTTACATGTATGTGCCAAATTTATAGTCCCGTCGGTTTCTGGGCCATTCTCAGGCACCTGAAAGTAATAAAATGCCGGTTGGCCCAGTTGCACATTACAGAGTCAGCCATGACAATGCGCACCTACACATGTCAAGAAGGTGTAAGAATTAGCAGCCTCTGAAAAAAATGGCTACGTTGCCATGGTGATATGTTAATTTATTAAGCAACATTGAATTGGCGTGATCTTCCCTACTGGAGAGACTCAATAAACTCAGGAAATCAATTTTGTCACCCTTGGACATCAATTGTGTATGAAATGACTCAACTAATTGTAAATAATAAGATAATCTGGCTTCATGCTATTTTTCAGCTCATTTAATACTTATCAGCATGGGCATAAAAAGAGTTGTCAAATTTTCTGGAAATTCAAGTAAGCAACAGATTTTTTTGTATACTGTCCTTAAAAAAAAAAAAAAAAAAATATATACACACATACATATATATATACATACACACACATATATATATATATATATTAAAAAGACTGTTAAACACAAAATCAGAGAATCCGTTTTCGCAAGCCTTGCATTCTTTGTGATAGATCCATCCACCACTGGATTCGGGATAGACGTGAATACAGTAATAGTGTTGGTATACAGATGACAGTTATTGTAAGTGCCAGCAATAACAGAATTCTGAGCCAGGAAGTTTATCATTTGAGATATTTATGACACTCTGAAACGACTATATATTATCTTGCCACAAAAAGGCAGGTCCAGCATTTAGATTGTCTTATAGTCCCAATCAATACAATATCAGGGATATCCACTAGGATTTTAACATTTTACAATGCAAATGTTTGTCTGAATGATTGATTTTACATTAGGTAAGGGTAGGTGTGACTCCTATCTCTACCCACAGTTTCTATGATATTTATCCTAATTATAGATTTAGGAAGCCTCTGCCTTTCTAATTCATTTCCCAGCCTGAACAGCCTGGCCTGTTTACTTCTTCTGTAATCACTGCAGTTAGGACAACATTTTAATTTAACCAAATAACTGCATAAACATTAGCTACAGAGCTTCTAGTATACATAGCATTGTCTTTCATTGGTTAATATAAATAATCAGTATGTATGTATGTATACACCATGCATACGTGTAATATCTCCCAAGTCTACATATGGGTATTTATGATGCACCATAAGACAACCCATCTAAATGTGCAATAAGTATGTAATAGACATCCCATGTACATGTGTAATAGGTATGTTGTATGTGTTGTCCCATGTATTTGTATAATAGGTATGTTAGAAGACATCCCATGTAGATGTATGATATGTATGTTATATGTGATACCCCATGTTTATATGTGTAATTGTTATGTTGTATGTGATACTCCATGTATATGTGTAATTGTTATGTCTAAGACATCCCATGTATATGTACAGCACAGTATACTATACATATATATATCTATGTGACGTCCCATGTAATAGGTATATATCTATGTGTATGAGACACCTTTTGTTTACATGTAATGTGTGTGTGTATATATATATCTGTATGTGATGACCATGTAATAGGTATATGTGTATGTGACACCCCATGTTTCCATGTAATAGAGGGTGGGTGTGTGTGTGTGTGTGTATATATATATATATATATATATATACACAATGTATGTCTGACTATGACCAGCACCCTTACCTCTCCCAGTCTGTCTCGGTGTCTTCCAGTCTGTCTGTCTCGGTGTCTGTCTCGCTGGGTATTATTCGCACTTCCTGTTTCCTCCTATTCTCGCCGATCACGCCGCCCGAGCTCTGCAGTCCGTCCGCTCGCGGCTCCCCGGAAGTGAATATAACAGGTGACGGGCACGGCCCCGGGGAGGCTGCCTTCCGTGTGTCTGCCGAGAGGCCGCGGCGGCCATTGTGGGTGAGGGCAGACTACAAGTAATGGTGGCCGCCCGGAGGCTGACGGGGAGCTGAGCGCCAGGGGACGGCCGCTAGCTGGTACAGGAGGGGGACCTCGGCAACTTCACTGCTCGGCAGCGGATCACCATAACCCGGGGGAGAGGGGAGAACAGAGTAAGGGAAGGGCAATGGGGGAGGTCTCTGGGATCAGATTAATGGGGGGGAGTCTCTGGGATCAGATTATTGGGGCTATGGGATCAGATTCATGGGGGTCTCTGGGATCAGATTAATGGGGGTCTGGGATCAGATTAATGGGGGGCTATGGGATCAGATTCATGGGGGGCTATGGGATCAGATTCATGGGGGTTCTCTGGGATCAGATTAATGGGGAGGTCTCTGGGATCAGATTAATGGGGGTCTCTGGGATCAGATTCATGGGGGTCTCTGGGATCAGATTAATGGGGGTCTCTGGGATCAGATTAATGGGGGGGAGCTATGGGATCCAGATTCATGGGGGCTATGGGATCAGATTCATGGGGGTTCTCTGGGATCAGATTCATGGGGGGCTATGGGATCAGATTCATGGGGGTTCTCTGGATCAGATTAATGGGGGGGTCTCTGGGATCAGATTAATGGGGGGGTCTCTGGGATCAGATTAATGGGGGGGTTCTCTGGGATCAGATTCATGGGGGGGGGTCTCTGGGATCAGTTCATGGAGGGTCTCTGGGATCAGTTCATTAGGGGTCTGTGGGAGAAATCAGGATTAACTGGGATCCTCTGAGCAAAATCTGGAGTTATACCAGCCTTCATGGGGGAGAGAGAGAGAGAGAGTAACATATATTTGTTTTTGCACATATTCTATCTGGAATGAAAGGTTCTATCTCTGAATGTCCTCTTTGTTTATCAATTCTATCTACACAGAGGAACAGGCTACCTCTTACTGGCTGTATATTATTATTTTATTATTATTATTTTGTTGATATCATGACATGTTCCAGCAATCTGTCTATAATCTATTGTACTCATCCCTGTCTCCAAGGCTTCTGCTGCATTTATAGATCTAAAAATATATAATATAAAAAAGATACAGGACTGGTAACTATGTATGTGTGTATGTTCTGTTGAGTATTTACATGTGTTTGTGTGTAATCATATTCATATTGTCAAAGTAAAGATGCTGAGTGACAACAGAGTTATGGATGCAGAATATAGTTTTTAGTTGTGTAAACGTTAGCATTTTCTGTAACCTTAAATGGGTTAGAGTGAGAATTGCAGGGAATTCATAGTGATTTTCAAATTTAAAGGGACACTACAGTCACAACTTGATGTAGTTGTTCTGGTGTCTATAGCCTGTCCCTGCAGGCTTTTTAACCCCTTAAGGACCAAACTTCTGTAATAAAAGGGAATCATGACATGTCACACATGTCATGTGTCCTTAAGGGGTTAATGTAAACACAGCCTTTTCAGAGAACAAAAAAAAACACTACTGCCTAGTAATACCTCTAGTGGCTGTCACTCTACGCTCTGCATGGAGATGCTGAAAGCTCCCCGTAGATACATTGATTCTGCACATGCGCAATAGCCTCACAATGCTTTCTTATGGGAAAGCGTTGGATTGGCTGAGGTCATCAAATGTGACAATCTCAGCCATGGTAGTGGAGCCGACTGCAGTTATACCTGCACGATGCTGGAAAAAACTTAAGTAAAATACCTTTTTTAAAGGGAGACAAGTGGGGCCAGAAACCTAAAGCGTGAGATTATCAGTCAGACCTATACGTTTCTGTTCCTGACACTATAGTGTTCCATTAAGGTCAGAATAGGTGAACCGGAAAAATTCTCCCAGTCAGCTATGCTTTAAGTTCAGCTACTTTGGTCTACAATTTTAAATTCAGTATGAATTCCCACTTTAGTGAATGATCCTGTATGTCTTGCTTTGCTTAGATCTGAAGTCATGGATGGTCAAGAAGGAGAAACCACGATCCACAAAAAGTTTGTGACAGAAGCAGAGGTTGAGGAGAAAAAAAAGAAAAGACAAGAGGAATGGGAAAAAGTAAGAAAACCAGAGGATCCAGAAGGTACTTTTATTTTATTGAAACTCTCAAATCACTTGTGATGTTTATGCCCATGAGTTTATGCCCATTTTTTAAAAATAATTTAATTTTCCTGTCTCTCCCGGTGCGTATTCCTAACATTAGGGTGTTTACCTAACTATTTAGATTTAAGGGCCATCTTAAATGGATAAAAATGGGGTTTTATTTGCCTTTAGTCCCCTATAGTCTCGCCATGACACCTAGCTTCATGCTGCAGCTGATCTCTGCCAATCCACTGTCTCCCATATAGAAGCATTGGGGGACTAGTGCACATGTGCGGCAATAGTAGACACGTTTTGACTCAATGCACCTCTATCTGGAGCATATATCGTCGATGCAGAGCGTGAATATGCCGAATGTCAGTTCTGCAAAGATTGCAGAATCGCACTAGGAAGGGCCGTTGGTGGCTGTCTGAGTGACAGCCACTAAAGGTGGCCCCAAATGCAATCACATTGTGTAGCAAAAACTGCAGTGTAATTTTTTTTTTTTCTCTTTTAGCCCCTCAATAGATCATGACTGTGTGTAGGCTCCATGGGGGTGCATGCAGTAGTACAGCATAATGGAATTAATGCAGGAACGCACATGCTCTTCACTTTTCTTGTCGATGCTCGTTGTGGGGCAAAGTTTCTGCTGTCCCTGGATGTTCTACTGACTTCTATTATTTGTACTTGTTCTATTTTTCATCCAAGTCAGCACTTAAATAGTCTTTCAGAGAAGTGACATCTCTTCCTTGCCATTTGAGATCAATTTTAGTGTCATTTTATTTTCACTGCTTAGATGATTGTTACTTTTCTGTAAACGTACATTCTTCGTTTTGCATTTTTTTTGATAGAGTGTCCTGAAGAGGTGTATGACCCCCGATCTTTATATGAAAAACTTCAGGAACAGAAAGACAAGAAACAGCAGGAATATGAAGAGCAATTTAAATTCAGTAAGTAACAGCCTGTTTTATTAATGGCACATTCCAGCCTCCATAAGCAGTACAGCTTGATGTAGTGGTTATGGTGCTAGGATTGCTCAGGCACCTGTTGAAATTGAGCAGAATTGTATTAACGCAGCAGCAGCGGCATGTCAAAGCAGTGTACATGTATGAAGATTGGTGATTTAAAAGTACACTTTAGTCCCCATAGCAACTTCATCCAAATGAAGTTGCTATGTTGATAGAAGACCCCCAGGTGCACTCTTAACTTAAGGGGTTAAACGGTTCTCAAATGATTTTAAGCCCAATAGTTGTCTCCACTACCGATCTCCAGGTCCCCCAGGGAGCAAGCGGCTTCTGAATCTCAGTAACCGGAAGCTGCCAGGCAGGTGATTGGCTAGAGCAGTAAGAGTGCGCATAAGGGCCTTCTGGCACCATAACTTCATTTAGATTAAGGTCTTATGGTGACCAGCTTGTTCCTTTAAGAATCCTTTGTCAGTGGTTTTATTAAACCGGACCAGATTGATTTAATGAAAAAAAAACCAAGAAATAAAAAAACAAATCAAAAAAACTTCTTCTACACGTCGTAGTGAGCGAGAGAAAGTGAGGCAAGACTAGACATTCACATACTTCCTCTCCAGCACCACAGAGACTATAGAGAACAGACAATTAATTGTCCTTCAACAACCTCAGATTAGGCATTAGCGATTATTACTAACCGCACCCCCTATTGTTAGGAGTCAAACCGTTAAGCTGGTCACTGTTGGCCAATGACCTTTCTACAAATATTGTAAAGTGGTGCAGTATTTGTTGCTACTTTATAAATGCCAATAATAATAATAATGAGCTATGGAAAGTTCCTGTTTATGAACTTCAAGTTCTACTGCAATGGTAGTGGAGGCAGGGAGTGGCTTCCAGCAGATTTCAGGTAAAAAGTAAAAATGTCCCTCCTTACAATGGGGAACCATGGCACTGGTACCTATACTGTTCCTTGTAATCTATTACCTACATGATTTAGTGCTGGACCAGATTTTCTTTACATAATGTTTGCTTAATTAATGATGTGTTTGTGAAGTTTGGAAAAACACTGCATTGGATTGAATTAAATTAACACAAACATGTATTCCTGAACACAAACATGTAACCACCATTTAAGTGGCTAGCCCTCCATTAGCCCTCTTAGAACGGGTTAAAACTCGCCTTATTTCCAGAGCCACACAGGTCCGCTGGTGCTGGCCCTGCCCCCGATCTGCCTTCTTGGTGACATCATCGGATTTCACGTTTTTTTTTAGCCATTAAGCTGTAGTTTTTCTGGTGACTATAGTGTCCCTAAAAAAAAAAAAAAAAGTGTTGATCTATTAATGCTTGTCCCACACTCTCTTATTTTAAAGGGACAGTATAGGAGTTAGAACAATGTAATCTTATTGAATGAATTACAGTACCTGGAGTCTCCTGGCATTGCTCCTCAATTCGGTGTTAAACCATTTTCAAGCAGTTTAACATTGAATGAGCCTCCATGGCTTTCCATCGCCTAGCACCCTTGGTAGGTGTGCTTAAGGCAGAGCTAACACACTTATTTGTAGCCATACTGATTCATTCATACATACATACATACATACATACATGGGCATTGTGATAGGCTGAATGCAATCAGCTGACACACTCAGCCAATGAGAGTCGCCTATTGCTAGAGAGGCTAATGCTTCTTCATTAACGCAAGCAGCACAGAAAGGATGGGTAACACTTGTTTGGCATTAAAACATTAAAAAACGTTTAATACTGGGTGAAAGAACCGCGTCAGGGGACCCCAGGCACCATAACTATTTTAATGAGATTAAGCAATTACAGTTCCTGTAATATCCCTTTAACCCCATTCAGAATCCTTTCTCATAGTCCAACTACATATGTTGGTCCTTGAATGGGTTGAAGGTAGTTAGCTGTCAAGGGTTGTAACGGAGCATTAGTCCCCCTCCCCCCACTGTATACAGGTTGTTGTTTTTTACGTTTGTGTGTGTGTGTGTATATTATTTTTATTTATTTTTTTTATTTTTTTTACAGAGAATATGGTGAGAGGTTTGGATGAAGATGAAACAAACTTCCTTGATGAGGTTTCAAGGAAACAAGAGCTGATTGAAAAGCAGAGACGAGAGGAAGAATTGAAAGAAATAAATGAATATCGAATATCCTTTTATTGGCGGTAACAGTACGCGGCATAGCGGTGCTAAGTCCTGGTATTCATGAGTTGCGTTTAGTTAGTCAAGCATTAGTTGCCTTAATGGCCGTCTCATTCTCTCCTGTCCCAGAGATTTTTTTTGGTTGGGGGGTAGGGTATTGTTTTTACCATAGTCCTGTGAATCTACTTTAAGTAACCACTTACCATCCATATTACTTCCCTGCCTTCACCTTGCCACATACAGTTTGTTTTGCCAAATACTAATATTGGTGCATCATGTCCTGTGTAGTTGCTGGACTTTTCCATTCTGGCAAAGATTGTCAATGCTCTCTTCACCCAAGACACTTCCTGATATAGTTTCTGGATAGCGGGCGCAAAATTGGATGAAATCCAAGGCCGGTTTATTGAAATCCAGTCACCAGAGCATTTTTTTTTTTTTTTCAAGCTCTGATAAACCAAAATGTGTTTGCATTTCAATAGACCTGCCTTGGATTTCTTATAATTTTGTTCCTGGCCTGTTACTTGTTGGATGATTTGGGGGGGGGAGTTGAATCTGGTCTGGTGGCACTTGGATGATCCTATATTTGTGTGCCTTCTAATTTTCTTCTATTGTTTTTGGACAACAAAGAAATGGGATTTAAATCACTTACCTGATAGTCTAAGAAATGTAATCGAGGATGCGTTAAAGGGGTAGTAAAGCAGGGATTACTTCCTAGAAGCTGTAGACCAGTCTCTCAAGGTGCAGATGTGTGAGGCTATCACTGTTCGCCATATTTTTGTTAGAAATGTAATGTTTGCGTTCCATAGTTGACAGATTGGCCGTTTGTTTGCAAGAACCAAATATTATGCAAAGTAATAAAGATTGTTGTTTTTTTTTTTTTTTGTTTTTTTTTTAGAACATCTTATAAAAATGTAATATCTTTGTATTTTTTGCACATTATGTGTGACCTTTCGAATTGTAGTAGTTGAAACCTAGAATTGCTTGTAAGAGGAGCTAGACTTTTATTTCACTTTGGCTGTTTTGTTAACTTTTGTAATGAACCTTTGCAAAAGCTGCATAGCTCTTGTCTGCAGCCTTGGAAAGCCCTCCCCTTCTAACCCCGCCCAGACTTACTGTGGCTGTCCAATCCGGATGTAGCTCAAAGAGAAGTCTTTGCAAGGAAGATGCTCTGAGCAATTGCTGCTTCTTGAGTTTAGCTGCACTGAGCTAAACAGCTAGGTAATAAGAAGACCTGTTGTCTGACAGCCAGGGTAGGTGAAAGTAACAATTTCTATTGAAACCTTTTGAAGAAATCTTCAAAAAAAAACTTAAGTGATTTAGGAGGCCGGAGCATGCCTTTAACACGATTCTAGTTGCTGTCCGGAAGAGGCGCTTTCACAGTTATATCCTAGTTAAACTTGGTTGTAGCACATATGACTCTCCTATAGAGCATTTGATTGGTGCAGCAAAGTGTGTTGATACACCTGTATACTAGTCTCCAAATGCTTCCATGTCAATCATGACATTGTATGTGTGTGTGTGATATTTATTTTTTATATTCTTTATTTTGGTAGTGCAGAGGTTAACAATCATGAATGCCAAAACAATTCACATGAGTATAATTATGGCAAACACTGATAACTCATGAATTATCAATGGTACTGCACTTTTTAACTTTTTTATTTTAAGAGAAGAAACAAAAGCACTAGTTCTATTAGCTGGATCAAAGAGAGAGAGAGAGAGAGTGAGAGAGAGTAAGTAGGGACCCTAGAACTAGAGATGTGTTCGGGAGGTAAATAACACTGGGTGAGCAGATGGAGTCAGGGCAATCCGTATATATTTAGATTTGTACATTTAGTGATTTCACCAGCCTAGTGTGTATAGATTGAAGCTATATCCACTTGATTGTAAACTTGTCATCCACAGGATTTGTGCATGGACAGTTAACTTTAACACCGTTACAGGGTCTATTAAAGTTGTAGGATAACAAAATATTAGCAAAATAAAATCTTATTTCTTGGGTTTGTATTTTTTTTTTCCCCCAGACTCCTTTTTATTATACTATTCAGATCAGTTTTATACATGCTGCACCCAGGCAAAAAAAGCCTTTGTTACAGAAAAAATAAATAAAAAATAATCCTTTTCAGTTTTTCACCTCCTAGCTGTATCTACAGCAATGCTTTAAAGACTAGTAATTTGATCTCCGGTTCTCTGTCCCCTATTCTCCTTAACGATTTTCTCACAACGCCCGCACATTGGCAGCTTCAAGCACAGACCACAAGAAGAGAGAAAGCGATAAAAAACCTCTGGCAAAATGCCTGGACAGCAAGAATAAGTTTTCCCAGTCCAAGCTGTTGGCAGGAGCTGTCAGGCATAGAAGGTAGGTTGCAGCACTGGAAAATATTGTTCGTTTTTAAAAGAATTATTACTTTTTGTTTAAATATCTGTCTTTAACCCCTTAAGGACACATGATATGTGTGACATGTCATGATTCCCTTTTATTCCAGAAGTTTGGTCCTTAAGGGGTTAATGTATAATATCTCATTCCACCTGGAATGTATCTGTATTTCACTCCTGTTTACTAGACAACTGCAGTCAATGAACTACAGATATATAACAACCAGGGTCCGATTTTTATTTTATTTTTTTAACCCCTTGGTTTTCAGTTTGTAATATTTTGTATGTAATTCATTCAGATAACATACTGCTTGCTCTCTTTTGATGTAAAAACTGATCATGTAAAATGCCCATTGCGAATATGACCGATCACACGCTGTGATCTGATATTACCCCGCTCTGGTTAACAAGACTAATTTTTTTTTGTTTTAATTTGTACTACTGTTAAATATGTAACCGAAGCCTAATCGTATACTGAACTTTGTAAATAGAAAGTCTAATCACTTAAAATACTCTGTGCATATGATCTAATGGTGCGTCAATATAAAAGTATAGTCTGTGTCTCGTTTGACCGTTCACATTAGATGTCCTGAAAGAGCATACAGATCACAGAACATGCTTCACACTAAATTTTATTTAATAAGGACTAAAATATAGTGATGTCCCGAACTGTTCGTCGAACGGTTCGCAGCAGACTCATCATTGAGTAAACTTTGACCCTGTACCTCACAGTCAGCATACACATTCCAGCCAATCAGCAGCAGACCCTCCCTCCCAGACCCTCCCATCTCCTGGACAGCTCACTAAGAATGCAGCTTCACAATTGATGCTGTCCAGGAGGTGGGAGGGTCTGGGAGGGAGGGTCTGCTGCTGATTGGCTGGAATGTGTCTGCTGACTGTGAGGTACAGGGTCAAAGTTTACTCATGATGAGTCCGTGGCGAACCGTTCGCGAACCGTTCGGGACATCACTACTAAAATAGAGACAAAATGGTATTGTATCACAAAATGCTAATGCCCTCTGCAAGGAATGTTGGAAGGGCCCCCCAACCTCCCACTGATAATCCTGCTTTTGCTTTCTGTTTGTATCACATTATTTACACATACGGTACCCATTGCACATCTCGGAAATAGTCTAACTCACACAGATATATAAATCCTTCCTTTTAAATATACACAACTTTATCAAACTTTGGATGCACAAGCACAACATTCTCATTATTTATATCCTTCTTTCCTTCTTCCTATAATTTCATCACCCACCCCCACTCCTTCGTGTCATGTCTCTTCGTTCCTTTTCTATATCTTACACTTCGTGTGAGTCCCATGCAGGGAGGATATGGCCGCATAAACAAAGTGGCAGAGTATTGAGCAGTGATACTGCAGGGGCATAATCTATACATCAAAACTACTTCATTTTGGCGTCCCTTTAACCTCATTCACCATAACATCTGCTAATACTCCCCACAACAGCTAATTGTCAAGTACTGTTAAAAGTTTAAAAAAAATGTTTTTTAAAAGTAGAGTCCATGGTGTATTGCAGACCAGTGGGAAAAAACGATTGATAGGTCAGCTCTGACCCCTAGGAATAATGAAACTAAATCTGAATATAATTAATTTAGAACACTTGTTTTGTTTCTTGCTTTTCTGGTAGAGAATTATTCCGCTTCCTAATGAGCTGCACAGCAGAATTACATGAACTAAATGGCAAGGTGCTAGATGCAACAAAAATAAAACTTCGAAAGATTCTAGTGAAAATTGTCAGCATTTTGGAGCATTTTGTAAACATTAATGACACAGTGGATGTCAATATCCAAAATAGAAGAAAATTACTGCTAATGTATTTCTTCAGCTATGTAATCATCTTTTATTATTTATTATACCCTCCATTGGGTATAATGTGCCTCTAACAACTGTTTCTGGAATGTCCTCTTGGGTTTTCTGTACCTTCACGTCAGTCTTTGATCTTTATTGTTTCACATCTAATGAGTGTATTGATTACATTATAAAGGAAACATTTAAAATAAGTATAATAAAATATATATAATATTTCTCCCTTTAGTTTTTATATGGGATATATTTTTGGATTACTAGCACTCTCCTACTCCACCCCATGGGGGGGGGTGATGAGTCAAATCAACAATACTGTCTGCTTGACTTGTCATGCTGTGTCTGGTATTGTCTGCACTGTGTGTGCAAACACAAACATATATGATCAAACACAGGAGTCCCCTTGCACTATCCACATGGATAACGGTCACACTGTTGTCTTGCCCTTCTTCAGATATTGCTAATATCTGTAAAGGAAAAATATGTGACCATTTTCACTCAAAAGTGACACTTCAGAAAGGAGCTCGTCATTTCAAAGATTTTATTCAGTAAACAATGAATTGTGAATTGAAAACCAGTGAAAAATGAAGCCAAAATAGCCAAGCTGTGACCGCTTAGGCCTCGTAGTTAATATTTTTGAAAAAGCTTTTCAAATTATCTTAATAATTTGAGAGATGTATGTGTGTGTGTGTGTGTGTGTGTGTGTGTGTGTGTGTATGTGTGTGTATATATATATATATATATATATATATATATATATATATATATATATATATATATATATATATATACTTTATTGATATTTTAAATAGATTATAATTAAAAAAAAATTATATTTTAGTATTTTGAAAATAATTTTTTTTTTCAGTAGACCCACTTTAAACCTGTTGATACTTATGGCTGACTTCTGTTTTACTTATATTTTATTCTATTTTAGTAATTCTGAGAGCACAAGTGCAAAGAAATTAAAATTGGATCAGGATCATGAAAAAATGAAAGGTAAGTGTCAGAAAAGATCATTTCTTTGGGCTGTTTCATATTTTTTTTTTTTTTTTTTTAAATGAAGACTGCGGATTCTATATGTTCTATAGCATCCTGCCTGTCTGAGAATACTAAGTATTTTATAGTGTTAAATCTTAATAGCTCCCCAGGTAGTGTTTATTTTGTATTTTCACTGGGTATTCATATCATGACATAGTATATGTTCAGCAGTAGAATGTCCGTATACATAGATTAAACAATGGTTGTAAAAAGATGGGTATAATAATGAAACGAGAGAAACCATAACATTGGACAAGTGCACATACCGGAGCCCTCCTTATTTGGTCGACAGGAGAAGCCGCTCCCAAAACATAACTAGTTGGCCAATAAGAAAGCTTTGTATGCTCTACAAAGAAGTTGTCGCAATAAAGGTAGCTATAAAGAAAGGTTAACAAACTTAAACCGCTTTAGTTTAGTAAAACGTCGCCTCAGAGGGGATATGATAACATTATACATCCAGGCCAATGCAAGCCATTGTGTGGAAATCTATTCACAAACCGGACTTTACATAGGATACGATGTCTTGCATTTAGACTGGAAGAAAGAAGATTTAGTCTAAGGCAAAGGAAGGGTTTTTTTTGTTTTTTTTTCCTGTAAGAACAATAAGGATTTTATCACAGTCTGTACGAATGTTTAAACGGCAACCAGATCCATACTTGCAAAAACATATTAAATGATAAAAAATTTCAAGTAGGGTAATAGCTTCTTGATTAAAGGATAAATCTGACTGCCATTCTGGGGTTAAGAATGAATTTATTTTCCAGTATGTTGCAAAATTGGAAGTTTTTTTTTTTTTGTTTTTTTTGTTTTGTTTTTGCCTTCTCAGCAAAAAACAGATGTGAGGAAGGCTGAACTTATGTCTCTTTTCAGCTATGTAACTATGTAGGGAAACCAAGTGTGAAGTCTGCCAGAAGCATGAACTAGCACTATAGAGGTTGAAACATAAAAATTACCATAATAAAATTAAACTAGCTTCACAGCAAAACAAACCGGGAAAAAGGGTGCCACATCCCAGGATTGTGTAGAAGGTCTGGAGGAGCTTGGTGTGAGACCGGGTAGGCCATGGTCTTTAAATAAGGTGTCTGTTTCTGCTTGACCTGTAGCACTAAATTGCTTACCGTTATTGGCTCAGGGAGCTGCCCAGTGTAAGGCCTGCCTTTTGAAGAGACTTGGTGATAGGTTGCATGGACTTTCTCCACCCCAAAGTAACTCTACTCAAATTCTTATAGAAAGTGAGGGCAGTCGATTCCAACTCATATGGTGCTTTCTCTTATAATGCAGACATAAGGCAAATTTTATCAGTGAGCGTTTGGAATCTCAGGATAATGTACCTAAAATACAGCTTCCCTCAATGCCATTAGTCCCTGTATAATATCCAGGACCTCTCTTTCTGTAGCTTGTATATGGGTTGTAACGGCCTGTACCTCAGCTTTTACTACTGCCAAGTCGGCTGCTAATAGTTTCTGTATGTCTGTATAGTAGCTGGAGTGTTATCTTTCCTCACTATTGACATTGCATCTTCTGTTGTTGGTATGTTAGGGTCTTGGATTAATTCCTGCCTGTCATCCTCCTGTGGGGATCTGCAGGCCTCAGAGTCCAGTGGCATCGCAGCCTTATGACAAGGTGTTCCCTAGAGCATTTGACCACTATCTCTGGCTCTAAGAGTGTGGAATGGAGGTTTTTGTGATTTCTGACCCTCAGCAGACGGCCAGGAGTTGGGGGTCAGTAGGTAGGTAGGAAGTCAGTTATGCCACTGGCGCCACCTGTGCAGTAGGCCTTGGATGTCCAGCACCGGTTGTTTGCCCTGCAATTGTAGGGCACCTTTTGGAAGACAACCCCGTTGGTTTTTTGTTTTTGAGAGGATGCAGTAGTAAGTAAGTATGTTTGGACGGATTAGTCGAAATAAGTTTGTGACAAGATATGGTGTCCGAGCTGGTGTGTTGCCAGCTCCGCCCCCCAGGTTTTTTTTTTTTGTTTTTTTTAAACCCAATGCAGTTTAAGCAAGACCCAAATGGTTGTCTGTGGAAAAATAACAAATTAAAATAATACTAGTTCTATTTTTTTTATACATATTTTTATGTATTATGTATTCTTCTTTATCCTGGTAAAATATCAAGTATTTTACCTCACCATACCTCATCAGGCTCACCAGGTATACGAATTCATATGATGTTTTGTGTCACCTAACCATATAACGCAATTAGATAGATATAGAGATATACACGTATAATACATTCTATATATACACCACTAAGCTGTGTGTTCAGGCATTACATAGTCAATGCTATTGATATAATATGCTTGTTGGAAATTCTAAGAACCCTATCAGGCCACCCCATGTGCCATGGACACTCAGAAATAATAAAGAGCTTGTAACAACTTTTGTCATTTGTTCATGCCACTCAAGATCAACCATATCTCTGTAAAATACAAGACAAATTTCCAAAAAATAGAATATTTTACATTGTCACAAATACCTCCTATTAATCAGGCAGCATTTAGCTGCACACAATATACATTCTTATAGATACTTAAACTTAAGTATAATCACGGCATTTTGTTACACTACGTAACCGTTAAAGAATGAGTCGCCATGTATGCAATTTGGGTTGCTGGGGTCTGTCTTCTCATGTTATTCATTTAAAAGGTGTTTCGCTCTGTTCTATGATGTGTGCATTTATTTGAATTATTACACACATTTGCTGTGGCTCTTAATACATGTGTTTTGCATTTTTTAGTAGCGTATTCTAGATTACTGTCTGTGTTCTCCTCCAAACAGAAAGCCTCTCCAGCTCCCTTGGAAGCAGTTCTTCAGCAGGTTCCCTCCTTCACTGCCCTCCAGCCTCGGTTTGTATCGGTATCCTGCCCGGACTTGGGGCTTACTCGGGGAGCAGTGATTCGGAGTCCAGCTCCGACAGCGAAGCCACAATAAACTCCATGGGAAAGATCGTCACCTCTGTTTTTCGCACGGGCACTTTTCTCGATGCTCCTTAAACTGGGTGAAATTACCAAAGATTTTAAATGAATTCTACATACAGACTTACCCAGTAGCTGAATAACTCGGACAGGATCTGTGTCCATGCTTTGCAGAACGCAGAATCATTTTTCACGTAGATAATTACTTACCTGTTTTTTGTTTCTAATAAGAACGCTTATTAAAACGATTAAACTCTGTAGCTCAGCAACTGTGTTTTAATTCAATATGGACATTACTATAACTCTTGTTGAGGGAAAATATATATTTTTTTTTTTCTTCTTATTTACATTCTCCATCTTCCTCCCCCCCTTCCCCCCCCTTTCCACTATTATAAAGTTGATAGAACCCTCCTTAATGCAATTTTTCCCCTTTCTACTATTATTGGCATTTATATAGCACCATGGTATTCTGCAGCGCTTTACAATATTATAAAGTGAGACATTTGACAATAAATGAAACAAATACAAAATGTTACAGGAACAATATATTGATGAAGACCCTGCTCAAACGAGCTTACAATGAGATACAATTCCAAGGGTCTTGGCAGTGAGCCGTTATGTTGCATAGATGGTTAAGATTACTCTATCACTTTTCTTGGGGGGAGTGGGTGAGTGGGTGAGTGAATGAGTCATTTAAGCTGTTGATACCTCCCATCTCCCGCCTCCACTATCTTGAGTGCCATATCGAAACTCTCACACTTAGTTCATCCAAATGAACGTATATCCAGAGAGCTTGATCTGTCAGTCCTGTTTAATATCTGGAATGTTAATGGTGCATATTGTTGGTAATTTGTTCTGTACAGTCATCACTGAGAACTGGATGACTTGGTGTGGTGAAATCACACCGCCTCGGTAGACTCATTCCTTTTAAATGTTCACAATGTTTTGGGACAGGCGATACTCTTTTGTTGTGTCTCAGTACCCCGCATCACAGGCACCTGGCACTAAAATAACTAGCAGAAGTGTACATTAATTTAAAATGTTGAACAAATTGTAACGTACCACTGAATTATTTATCATCGCCAAAGGCTGCTCCTCCATTAGACTAAAAGGCTGAGCCATCCGCACACGAAAAATGTTGGGAGACAAAATGCTTGCATTATTGAGAAAAGCATTTTTCCCCATGAGCTAAATGTATTAAACCTCCAAATTTTTGCAGTGCAGGTAGCTACAAGCAAGTTGGTGGTGCCACAACAGCATCAACAGACCGAAATAGTCAGACATAGTGGTACATAGGCATGGCAGGTATATACTGTGTATATACATTTTTTTTGTTTAAGATAACATAACATACTGAATAAGCAACTTGTCAGATCATGAGAAGAGACTGGAACAGAGTAAAGCATAAGTTGCACATTTTTTGTTATAGTAGAATGAGATGGTCAAAGCGTAGGTTAAGCAAGGCTTAATACGAGCTAGGCCAATCCTATTTAGCTATGTGTACAGGTATACACTCAGGTGAGTCGAGTAGTTAGATTAGAAAAGCAAGACATCAGGTTATTGTGCAAGCTGGACAGGTAAAGGTTAGTGAAATCAGATTCACGAGTATGTTGGACCATCCAAGCTTGGAAACCAAGATGTGTAAACGTGGTGTGAATCAACAAAGTGATGGTGTTACGCAAACGAAACATTTATGTCAGGTCGGCTTTCATATAACTAGCCTAGCCTCTCAATGTGAAGCCAGTGATTGGCTGAGAGCATCTGCTGACATTCTCAGTGTATCACCAGCGCCCAGTTCATAGCTTCCATATTGAAGAATACACAAAGAGCTGGAGGACAGGCATCATCTACAGCACTGGTTCCCAAACCATTCCTTGTGGCCCATCAACAATCCTGGATTTATGTATTTCCCTGTTTTATTCCAATGGAGATACTGACAAAAGGGGGTGGAGGGATCGGCCACGACCAGGGCTGGCTTTAAGATGTGTGAGTTGTGCGGCAGGCACAGGTTGCCATGGCAGCCACACCACTTTAAAACTAGCCAGTCGCACATAAGAAAAGTGGGGGTGGGGCTATCCGTAATTGGGGCGGAGCTAAACACTGCCTCCACCCGCTGCTGTTAGTGCTGCACATCGAAGGGAAGCAGGAAGTAGTCCTTGCTTCCCCAGCTAACAGAATCCAGGGACTTCAATGGATCCACTCATGCAGCCCATACTATCTGTAAGTGATAGAGAGAGTGTGTGTGTGTTGACTGTCTGCCTGTGACTGTGTGTGTGTGTGTTCATTGTCTGCCTGTGACTCTGTGTGTGTGTTTGTGCGCCTGTCTGCCTGTAACTATGTGTATGACTGCCTGCCTGTAACTGTGTGTGTGTGTCAGACGGTCTGCCTGACAGTGTGCTTGTGACTGTGTGTGACTTTCTGCATGTGACAGTGCATTTGGGGGATGCTGCCTGTAACCGTGTGTGACTATCTGCCTGTGACTGTGCATGTGACTGTCTGCCTGTAATTGTATTTGTGACCACTTGTAACTGTTTGTGTGACTGTCTGCCTGTGACTGTGTGCGAGTGACTATGTGCCTGGGTCTGGACTCTGAAGACTGTTGCTAATATTGTTGTGTAAAAAAAAAATGAATTCTACTGCAAGGGGCTGAGCAGGGGCTTTAGAGGGAGAGGCAGTTTTTTGGGGGACGAGGGGTGCAGGGGTTTGTTGAAGGGGGACATGTGTATAAGGGGGCTGAGCATGGTTTTTTTTTTTTTCATGTTGGTTGAATGTTTATTAATATTTTGTACAGCTTTCGGTTTCACATGTGAGTGCAATTCAGGCATGAAAACATATCAGGCAGCTTTCATGTAGAATGTTTTTTATACCTAGACCAGTGCGGTCCTACTGATGCAGAATGCAGGCCTTTAAAATTTTGTAGGTCCACAGCATCAACTAGAACACTGATGCTATATAACAAGGAATGCAGACTTTTTAGGCATGCTGGGGGTCAGAAACCCACCATCTGCATTTGGAAAGCAGTGGCCTAGGTTTTTAAGATACTTCGGTTATGGACTTGGGCAACCCTGAAGTAGCACAGGCATGCCCTTTATACACACACAATTGGTCCACTTTGTCAACTCACATTGCATTTAATGTAATATCATATTGCCCAAGGCTGTGGTCTCTGGTAGAGCGTGAAAGGATATGGAGGTTCTTTATTATTATTCCTGAAGATAATGTTATAAAGAAAAAAGGTAACTGTACATGATCCAAACCCCCTGGAGAAATCTACTACTCTGTGGTATGGGCATTTACTGCCAATAATAGGCAACATGAAAAATGAAATACTAGCTCTGTGGCTTTAATTGTAAGGACAATGGTTGAATTTGTAATGACACTTTGTGATGTTCTAGTACTACAACAACGTGGTGCTATGTTCTCACTTGCTAGCATTCGCTAAAGATAAGGAAGCTATATGTGTGATAGGACAAACAAAGGCAATAAAGTCAAAAGTTGTAAAGGAATTTGCTGTTCTAGGGAGCTGCAGAGCATTGAATTACTGTCCTTATAAGCAGGAACAATGACACAAGGACATTAGTGCAATGACCTAGAACTATAAAAAGGTAATGCTCATTATACAGATTAACCCCTTAAGGACACATGATGTGTGACAGGTCATGATTCCCTTTTATTCCAGAAGTTTGGTCCTTAAGGGGTTAAAGTAGAGGGAGGAGCGTGGAAAGTCTTCTCAAGACGGAATGAATATGTGCCGTACTTAAAATTATCCACCTATCGCAGAAGTGACCACTTTATTTGCTCTTTTGCCGACTGAAGAACTTGAGAAACGGTTTGTTCTGTGAGAGGAACATCATCTCCCCTCAGGGCGACCCGGTGAACTACTTGCTAAGGATCGCTTTCCAAAATAACACCGCCATCTATTATCTCATCAACTGCCAGGAACAGTCCTTCCATGTTTTCAAGCAGAGTTCGCTTTTCACATTTTTTCGGAGCATTTGACTTAGTGAGTCAAAAAGACAATTGAGAACTGCCATCAACATGAGCTCATTCTCATGCGAGCTTCCAATGACATAGAAGTATAGATCAATGGAACTCTTATAGACCACCGTTAGTCCCTCAAGTAGAGCAATCTCACTGTCCGTCCGATGGGTTTTATTAAATATATTCTTCTCAAACGCCTTCTGCTCTTTCACGGTTGGATATGTCTCATCATAGTACTTGGCAAGTAATCTTTCTCCATCATTGTCCAAGATCAAAACAGCTTTCACTGTATACAGCGACGGATCCAGCAGCACCGCGTCCATTTTACTCAGTCCTGCAGACGTGGAGCAATACCCTGAGCATGGGTTTTGTAGAACGGTGGGCAGGAGATGGGTGTTGTAAAATGGTGGGCAGGAGATGGGTTTTTTTTAAATTTACACTCGTGCAATTTTTAATAATGAAAACATTTAAAAAATATTGTGGGTGTTTTTTTTTTTTTACATATTAAAGGGGAGGGGGGCTGCCAATCAAACACAGGGTTAGTCCTGGGTGCCAAATGCTCTAGGTACGCCCCTGCCCTCACGCCAATTCTTCCCCAATTATTGTTTTTATTTTCCCCTGGTTTGCTTGTTATTTCAGGTGGTATCCTTATCCCTGACACCTAGAGTCGCGAGGTAACCAGACAGAGCTGTGCACCAGCTATTTATATTCTATACAGAATCCCTCGCGGCTCTCGTTCAGTGATGCAGGAAGCTATGGTCATCATTATGGTGCAAGTTTACAGATCTCCATTTAGTTATACGAGATGAAGCACATTTACGTATTGCTGTGCTCATTCCCATCTGGTTAGAGCTCAGAGAACTAATAATAAGGAAGAAAATCAGGAACAGATGCAGTTTAATAAATCTACCTACAATGCCGGCACACCACTCTCCTACTATTTGGAAAATCTTTTACGAGGTGTATCTTGTTCTAATATAAGGCACATGTTGTTTGCACATATACCCATCTAGTGGGGATATATAGAAGAAGAGGTTAACCCCACAATAGCAGTTCCAAACTTCCAATCATCACATAGAACATCTGGAACTGCTGTGTAATGGTATGGCTAGTATTTAAAGAACTATGCTGTGAGCACTAATTGGCAGCGGTGTGGCCCAAATATGCACAGTCTGCAGCTCCGCACTGTCTCCCGGGAGGGATGAGAGCTTAAAGGGACTCTCCAGTGCCAGGAAAACAATCCGATGTCCCTCGGCGGTGTTTCGGGTCCCGCCGCTCCTCCTCTTCATTACGTCAGCCGGCTGAGGAGACCCAATGCGCATCAATGCTGCGCATGCGCATTAGAGCTCTCCATAGGGAAGCATTGAAAATGCTTTTCAATGCTTTCCTATGGGGAATTGAGCAATGCTGGAGGTGCTTACACAGCGTGAGGACGTCCAGTGATGCTCTAGCACAGAAAACCTGTGCTATGAAGCAGGAAGTGCCCTCTAGTGGCTGTCTAGTAGACAGCCACTAGAGGAGGAGTTAACCCTGCAAGGTAATTATTGCAGTTTATGAAAACTGCAATAATTACAGTTGCAGGGTTCAGGGTAGTGGGAGTTGGCACCCAGACCACTCCAATGGGCAGAAGTGGTCTGAGTGCCTGGAGTGTCCCTTTAAGTTGTGCATGATGCATGTACAGCTTCAAAATGTATATAGGGAACTGGCGGTTATGGCTATCTGATTGACATCTTTGAACGTCTGTCTTAGAGCTTAAGTAATTTTTACAACCACTGCAGTTTTAAGCCACTGTCATAGCTTAGAGTGAGAATAGGGTGCTTAGACTGACCCTTTAAAGCAGGGGCTCCCAACCCACTCCTCAAGTACCCCCTACCAGTCCAGGATTTAGGGATTACTCTTTTGTGTCTAAAGTTCTTGTTTTTTCTTTACCAAAACACACCTTAAACACAACTGGGTAATCCCTAAATCCTGGACTGTTGGGGAGTACTTGAGGGCTGGGTTGGGAACCACTTCTTTAAAGGAACACTCCAAGTACAGCAGACTGTAGTGATTATGGTGCCAGGAGTGCACTTTAATAAACCTTGTTACACCCCCCCCTCCCCAACTGTCAATCAGACAATTGGTCCTGTTACGTCCTGGTAGTTTAGCAGAGTGGAGCTAAACTCAAGAGGCAGCAATTGCCCAGAGCACCTGCCTTGCAAAGACTGTTCATTGCGCTGCATCTTGAAGTCTGTGATTGGACAGCCACAGGAAGTGTGGATGGGGTTATAAGGGGAGGGCTTGCAAGGGCAGCAAACAAGATGGAAAAAAACCCCAACATAATTAAATGCATTTATGTTTTCATTAGGGGTATATATCTAGTATACTGTGATGTTTATTTATTTTGTATTTGGACATGGAGGTCCCTTTAAACACAAAAAGGGGTTAAGAGAGTGCAAACACACAGCTTTAAGAACTCACACACGGAGTGAGTGTGGGCTGTAGACCATATTCATACATTACTACAGTCCACAGCTCCCAGCATGCCTGAGTGATGTCAGCTCAAGAAGGAGCCTGCTCATTGGACAGGTTGATAGCTAATAGCAGACTACCTACCTTGGATGTGCTACCCAGAGAGGTAAGAGCTCTCACATGTCTTACTCTTACACCTTGTGGTGGGGGGTGGTGAGTAGCCCTGGTAACCTGAGCTGTACATTCTGTCCATAGAATGGCTGGTTATCGGCTGTATATGGGCCTGGCCCATTATGTGGGATTAATGACTGAGACCAAGTAATAACACCTGGTTTAGAGTCATGTCAGGGTTCACTTTATTCTGTTAAAAAAAAAAAAAAAAAAGCAGGAAAGTTATTATTATTGCCATTTATATAGCGCCAACAGATTCCATAGCGCTTTACAATATTATGAGATAAAACTTACAGGAACGATAGGTTAAAGAGTTACTATAATAACCTGGACTTCCACATGGTATTGTGTGAAGACCCCAGTACATAAATACAGGCTGCTTTGTGGATTGAGATGCCTTGCTTTATACAGGGAAAGATTCTTATTACCAGTACTCTCAGCCACACACTAGCTTACCCCAGCACTCCATTCCCAAACCCCCCCCCCAAAAAAAAAAAAAAAGATGAAAGAAAACCATTTACTGGAAGAAATTAAACAAATTGCAACATTCACCTTTTTTTCTGCATGTGTTATATATTATCTTCACTTTTTAGCAAGAAGAATATCCATATAGTGGTGTGAGCTGCGCAGTGCGTGTGTATTTATTCCAAAATAAGGTCTGGGACATTTGGTAGCAAAACAGTACCTGCTTGGTTACATTTTTTCCCCCAATCCATCTGGGACCTTTTTTGGCCAGTGTTCTCAATTTAGATTTATTGTAAAGAGGTTTTGGATCCTCTGCCTCACTCTGTAAGGTTAACAAAAAATATAAATTTTAGGTTGTATGTTCACTGGTGTGCCACTGCAGAACCAATCTGTTGAACCTATTTATATATTAAAATTCTGAAATTTGGACACTAGAGGGCATCATTGCTGTTTCTGTAATATTATCAATACCTGTATACATATATTATATTTATATATATATATTGCTAATATTACAGCATTTTGGATTAACAGAAACAGCATGGCTATTCTGAAAATAACTTATACGAGAGGCATCTTATATGGCAAAATCTAACTGGGTTCTAGGCAAAGTATAATAGTCCTAAGGGAGCCTCTAAAGCCCCTGTTTTTTTTTTTTTTTTTGTTACCTAGCAACACTCCTGATTTTCTTCTACTTTATTTTGTCCTTCTTGGTATTTTTTATGATAATACCCCTATAATATTATTCTTGTAAGCAATGTATGAAAAGTAATGCATGTTATAAATTATCTTCTATTATGGGGCATTGTGGAAAAATAATATATAAGGCAAAACAAATTATTCTTATCATGACAATAGCTACTATAAATAACACATTATTGTATTACTTTATTCATACATATCAGAAAATTTCAATTAGACCAAACTTAAAGGGACACTATAGTCACCAGAACCACTACAGCTTAATTTAGTGGTTCTGGTGTCTCTAGCCTCTCCCTACATTGTTAGCAATGTAAACACTGCCACTAGAGGTGCTTCCTATCTCAGTGCAGCACTGGCGTTTAGTGTCTCTGCATGGAGTCGCTGAACACTCCCATAGAGATTAATTGATTCAATGCATCTCCATGAGGATATGCTGTGTATTGCTGCGCATGCGCAATAGATTTCCAATGATTTCCTATGGGAAAGCATTGGATTGACTATCAAGATTGATAATTTTAGCTATGGAGGTGGAACTAGACGAAGTCAGCCAAGGTGATACCAGCACGGCATGGGAGAAAAGGTACCTTTTAAACCTTAATTTACAAGGAAAGGGAGGCTGGAGACCTAAACATTGATTCATGTCAGGAATACATGTTTTTATTTGTGGCACTATAGTGTTCTCGACCAATGACGTACCGCCGAAAAACGGTTGGTAACGACCGCATACGTGCCTGGGGTGATAGCGATCCTGGGGTTTGCCTGGGAGCTCAGGCAGACACCTACTGCCCGATCTAGCCCTTCCGGGCCATGTGATCGCAGGGTCCTCGCGATCACATGGCCGGAATATCAGGCTTGTGCAGTGCCTGTATGTACATACATACACACCTATATTATTTTTATATATATATATATATATATATATATATATATATATATATATATTTAACTATTAACTACATAATTATTTGATTTTATTAATTATAATTTGAGGGACCTGCCTGACAACCCAGGCAGACAGTCCAGAGAATTGAATTGGCAAGCCCTATATTTAACCCCATAAATTTCCAAAACACCATAAAACCTTCACATGGGGGATATTGTTATACTCAAGAGACTTCGCTGAAAACGCAAAAAACAAATATGAACGCTAGCTTTGGCAAGCATTTGTGGCTAAGTGGCTTCTACAAAAGTCTGGACGTAGATTGGTGGTAAAATGGTTGCATGAAAAGAGTCAAAATACCCCAAGTTTAATAACTTGGGTTGTCTTCTTTTAAAAAATATATACATGTGAAGGGTTATTCAGGGATTCCTGACAGATATCAGTGTTACAATGTAACTTTTGTTAATTTTTTGGGGAAAAAAAAAGGGTTTGGAAATAGCAAGTGCTACTTGTACTTATTGCCCTATAACTTTAAAAAAAAAAAAAAAAACATGTTAACATTGAGTATTTCTAAACTCAGGACAAAATTATTATACAAAACTATTTAGCACGGGTGTTTTTGGGTGGTTGTAGATGCGCAACAGATTTTGGGGGTCAAATTTAGAAAAGGTGTTTTTTTTTTTT